AAAAAAAAAAATGTAATTATTAAAAAAAAAAAAAAATAAAAAAAAAAAAAAAAAAAAAAAAAACAGTATACACGTATAAATAATTAAAAATAAAATAGTAAATTGAAGATATAAAAAAATTTATAGTAATAAAATGAAAAATTAGTAAATTTATACATCAAATTTTTTCATTTTAAATAAAAAGATAAAAAAATGAAAAAAGGTCTATAAACAAGTTAAAAAAAAAAAAAAATCACTTAAAGTGTTGTGTAAACCAAATTTTGATAGAAAAAAAAAAAAAAAATAAAGTTATTAAATTTATAAATACTATATATATGATGCACATGAATAATTACACAAGAAAAGTAAATAAATACGACATTTTCTTTCCTTTTTTTCTAATTTAATGGAAAATAACTTATTATATATATCCATTAAGTTTATGAAAGACAAATAAAAATGTCAAAAAAAAAAAAAAAAAAAAAAAAAAAAATTTAAATAGTACTATTAAATTTAAAAGAATATTTCTTATAGTAAAAACTTTTATATATTCACTTTATTTGATATATTCAAATATTTCTTATTAATAGTTTTTTCATAAGAATATAATGAAAAAATATTTAATATATATATAAAAATAAAAATATACCATAAGAAATTATGAAAGTTAACAATAAAGTACTAATTTTTAAAAATAAAAAATAAATACACCAATACCATAATTAAAATAAAAGAATAATTTAAATTATCATGATCATAAAAAAATATTGAGCTTTAAAAAAAAAAAAAAAAAAAATGAAATAATAATAAATTTAGTTAAGAAAATTATATAAAATTTTAAATTCAAGTAAAATACCACAATTGAGATTTTTCATAAATATAATAATGTTAGTCAACAACTCAAAAAATGAATAAATTTATACTTTTTATTTATTATATAAAATAAAATAAAACAAAATTATAATAAATTGTTTTATTCTTAATATCTCTTTAAAAAAAAAAAACTAAACAAATGCGTAAATTTACAACACTTTTTTTAATTTTTACTATATATCTTTCTTTTTATTTGATTTGTTCCAATGGTAACTTAAAATTAATTTTGTAAAATTATATGTGGAAATATTTTAGATATATTTATTTTATAATTTAAAAATATTTTCTTTCATATAACATTTTTGTAGATTTCTTATCTTTTTTTTTTTTTTTTTATTAATAACAAAACATATATAAATAGTATAACATTTTATTTATTTATTTTTTTTTTTTAATATATAAAATTGAATAATTTTTTTTTGTTTTTATAGACATTTTTGATGATATTATTATCATTGAAGAATCAGATGAATTAAATAGCAGTGATATAGATCCATTAAAAACTTCAGGAGGTAAAATAAAAATAAATGAAAAAATAGAATTTTAAATTGTTTATTAATATTGATGTAAATAATAGAATAAAAAGAATAAAAATCTATATATATATATATATACATATGATTTTCATTTGAGTAATGTATTATTTAAATGTATTTATTAATAAGTATTAGGCGTTATTTGAAAAAAAAAAAAAATAAAATAAAATAGAACCCATTTAAAAGCATATATATTTATTAAAGTTTTAATACTATTTTTTTTTTTTTTTTCCTTTTTTACGTTTACATAGATGAAAATATAGTTGATAATACTAACAATATAAAAGAAATAATGTTTAAATGGACAGGAGAAAATGAGAAGCTTTTTTATTATAAAATTATTTTATTCATATGTATTCTAATTATTGCAATACTTAACGGCATAATAGGAAAAAAAAAAAATAAATTTGTAGCACTATATTGGCTAAGATCCTGTAAAGATATTTTTATAGAAAATTTTGCAAAAATAGGTAATGAAAAATCTTTTTTATTAGAAAAATCATATGATAATTATGAATTTTTTTGCACAGGGAGAAAAAATTGTAATTTTTATTTAGTTAATTTAAATTTAAGTAAAAGGCAATGCATTTGGAGATATTATGTATTGCATTATTTTATTAAGCAAAATGATACAATGAATATAGCTATAAATTTTGAAAAATTAGATAAAAATATTTTATGCATATATAAAAAAAATCAAAAAAAACAAGTTGAAAATGCGTTCCCTATCTTAAATAAGTACACAAAATTTATAAACAAAAAAGAGTTAAAAGAAATTTATGATGTAAAAGGAGATTCATCTGAAATTACTGATTTAGTTTTAAGTGGAAGAATTTTAAACTTTATAAATAGCCATGATAAATATATAAATTATATTTGTATTACTGACATTCCTTTATATGATTATGAAGAAAAAACAAATGATAAAAAGAACGAAAATAATAAAACTGAAAAGCACAAATATTGTTATTTAAATTTTATTATACCAAAAAATGTAGAAGATCTAAGAAAATTAATAAACTTCTCTATATATATGATTGATGCTTGTCATTGTATTGAATTATCTGAGAAAGTAAGAGATCATGTAAAAAAATTAAGAAGTATAGTTGAAAAGGAGGATATAAAAAGGAAACAAGAATTGAAGGAAATTCAAGAAAAAAAAAAAGCAAAAAAGATACAAGAGGAAAAAGAGAAAATTGATAAAATGTCAGCAGAACAACAAAGAAAATATGAAGAAAAAAAAAAAAAAAAAAATTTAAAGAAAATAAAAAAAATAAAAGTTATAAAAATGTAATTATTTGATTTTTTTTTTAATAATTTTTTGAATGTCTATATTTTATAATATATATATATATATATATATATATATATATATATATTTGTTTATCTTTTTTTTTTTTTTATTATAAACATGTGTACATAAATGTTTTATTTTAATGTTGTATCTTAAAATATTAATATATTTTTAACTTTTTTTTTAATTAATATTTTTTTTTAATTATTGTATATTTTATATTTACAAAAAAAAAATTAAAATTTAAATTAAAAGCAGGTAAAATAAAAACTTAATGTTCGTTTTTCAGGAATTAATTTTATTATTTATTCTTGTATTAACGCATTTAAAATTATATAAATTTAATATTCAACTTAATAATAAAATTCTAAATGTTGGACAAAACATATTGATCAACGTATTTTATGATATCAATAAAAGTTTCGTCTAATGAAGCTTTTCCTATTAAGAAACCATCACTAATGGTATTACCTATATAATTCTGTAAAAAAAAAAAAGAAAAAAGAATAAAATATTAAGTAAATAAAAAAAAGAAAAAGGAATTTTTTTTTTTTTTAATTATCAAAAGAGTACTTTCATATTGGACTTATTTATAGATCCACCAAAAACTATTGATATGTCATCACTTATTTGTGGACTTATTTCATTAGCTATATTTTTTTTTATATCTTATAATTACAAAAAAAAAAAAAAAAAAAAAAAAATAAAAAAATAAAAATAAATGTTATATTTATAATAATATAATATTATAATATATAAATTTTATTTTATTAAAATATTTTATTTTGTTTATTTTTTTCTCTTTTAATTAAACCTAAACAGCAATCATTTAAAATATTATATGATACAGATTTTCCTGTTCCGATAGCAAAATTTGGTTCAAAAGCAATTATTATATTCTTCATTTCATTCTTTGAAATTTTTTTTTTAATTATCTTCAAAAAAAAAAAAAATATATATATAATTAAATAAAAAAATACATATAAATATTATTATATAAATATTATTATATAAATATTATTATATAAATATTATTATATAAATAATATTATATAAATAATATTATATAAATAATATTATATAAATTTTTTTATCTTTTATTTTTTTTTCTTTTATGTATATTTATTTTTTGTTTACAGATAGCAATTCTTTTATTTTTGAAGAAAAAAGATGAAAATTTGTATAATCATAATCTTCACCGACACATAATATAACTTTTAATTTGGAATGAATTGCATTATAGACTTTTAAAACTGTTTGTTCGATAGTTTCTACATTATTATAAAATCCCTTTTTTCTTTCACTATGACCAATTATAGTATATTTATTACCAAAATCATAAATTAATTTGGCTGTTGTTTCTCCTGTAAAAGGACCAAAACCATTAACTAAACTGACATCTTGAGAACATGTGATTATCTTAGAATTATTCTCTTTTATTTTTTGTTGTAAATATGGAATATATAATAAATTAGGAGATATTATTAAATCAATATAACTAGAATATTTAATTTGTGTTATTGTATCAATTAATTTATATGCTTGTTCTTTTGATAAATAACATTTCCAATTTCCTATAATAATTTTCTTTTTTTTTTTTATTTCACCAATATTACTATTAATTAATGAATATGTCTTAATTAATTTTTTATTATTCGCATGTTTTATTTTTATTTTGCTTAATTTATATTTATCATCAGAATTAATTTTAGTTACCTTTAATATACATTTTGGTGAAATAAAATATCTCTTTCTTATTTTTAATTTATATAAATATTCTGATAGACAATTACTTAATTTTATGTAATATAAATTGAACAAATATATATATAATAATAATATTTTTTTCTGCATATTAAAAAAAAAAAAAAAAAAAAGAAAAAAGAGAGGTTTAAATTTATTATAAATATATATTTTTTATATATATTTAATAAAATAATATACTAGTGTAACATCCTTTATACTACTAAGAACTTAATCTAAATAGTAAACCAAACTATTTTCAAAATTAAAATAATAATTTCACATTATTAAATACAGTAGAAGAAACATTGATAAAATAGTGTTAATGCATTAAACAACAGAAAAAAAAAAAAAAAAAAAAAAAAAAAAAAAAAAAAATATATATATATATGTTATGTTCTTATATTAGGAACAACATAATATATATTTATTTATATATATCATTATATAAAAATAGAATGAATAAAATAAAGTTATTTGATATATATAAATACTATAATTAAGATATAATACATTTAAATTGGAATTTCTATGTCTCAAATTATGTATTTTATTAAAAAGAATGTAATTTTAATACATAAATAATTCATATGTCAATATATATAAAAATATATGCATCTATATTAATTGAATATGTATATATATAGTTATAAAATATGAAACAATCTATGATTATTACATAAAAAATACAGTAATAAAATAAATAAATGAATTAAAAACATAAAAAAAAAAAAAAAAAAAAAATCTAAAAAATGAAGATATAAAGAATATATTAATCTAGTAAAATATTAATAGATACTATATATGAGCATTCATTATATTTTATTTTTATTAAATAAAGAATGTTACTGATATTTATGAAAATAGGAATTTTATCTATTTACAAAAAAAAAATTCTTAAAATACTATATATATATATATATATTTAAAGAGAGACTTTATTATATATAAATGTATACGTATTATAATTTACTATTAAGACAAATATTTCATAAAATTATTTTATTTTTAATTTACATATAAAAATATGTGTTACTCTTTATATAACATAATAATAAAACTTAAAAAAATATATAAAAAAAAATTAAATATCATAATTTAGTCGTTATTTCCACAAAAAAAGGATAAATGTAATTTTCACATTTTTTAATAATATAAAAAGTATATATATATATATATATAATGTCAAAACATGCATAATAATTATTTTATGATTTTAAATTAAGAATTCAACTATTTTCAATTTGTTTTTCTTTATTATTCCTTTTAATTTGAAGTTTTATTATAGATAAAAATATATAAGATGTACAATATAAATAATTATTAAATATAGAGATGATTTAAAACAGAAGATAAAATAGAAAAATAAATGTATAAATAAAGAAAAGAAAAAATTAGATAAGCTCCTTAATACCATCTTATTTATTTATTTTTTTTATATACTAAAAATTCTTTTGTGTTTGTTTAACAAAGATTACAATTAATAGCTTTTCTCGTTTATTTATATATTAAAATATAATTCCAATAATTTATTTTAAGATTTTACATTTTAATTCGAAAAATATAAAAAATATTTTTTTTTTTTTTTTTGTAGAAAACATTTTATAAGTATTCTCTGCAATATCTATGAAATTATTTTATTTTTTTGTATTTTTTTATGAAAATTTTTATTATTAGAATATTTACATTAGAAATATTTATTTACAATATAAATATGATTTTTTTTATGCTAAATAACTCAAGAATTTACATTTCTAATAAAGATTTACATTGCATTAATAAGGATAAAATAAAAGAATGATACACATTTAGTATAATTTAAATATTGCTACTAATACTTTTTTATCTTGTAATAGTTAAAGTATTAAATGGATTGTATTACTGTTATATTTAAAATTATTTTTTTGTTTATATATGTCATTTATGGTTTAGTTTTTCATTTAAATATAAATGATATTTATTTAAAGTTATAAATTTTTAAACAATTCTTTTAAATAATTACATATGTTACATAACTATATTTTTTTTTTTTTTTAAATGATAACCACTTTATAAAATAAAAGATTAAAAAATAAAAAAAAATTAATTCACAAACTTTTAAATAATTAAAAAAATTAATACAATATAAAATACGTACATACAGAAAATATGTATCATCATATTATCAAAAATGGCTTGCATTAATTTAAATACAAACATAAATATTTATAAAGCAAAATTTTAAATATTACATAGATTGATGTAAAGAAAAAAAAAAAAAAAAAATTAATACTTGCTATGTAGAATTTATAAAAAAGAAATAACAAAAAATATAGAATGGAAAATTGTTCACAATAAACTTTGTGACAAAAAATAATAGACTTCATTTGGTAATTTAATAAAATTAATGATTTATTAAATAGTTTATATATATATATATATTTTAAAAAAGCATAAAAAGTAGTTAATGAAGTAATGAATTAATAAAAAAAAAACAAAAAAAAAAAAGAATAAAAAATAGATGAATAGTTTAACTAATTAAAAAAAAAGATTTTAAATATGTTTTTATAATTTTGTTAAATGCTTTTAATTAAAGTTTACTTTGTCATTGCTCCTATATTACTTATTATTTATTTATTTTTTTTTATTTTAATTGTAAAAATGTTGTTTTTATGAATATTTATTCTTTTTTATGTTTTAATTAATAGTTATTTTTATTTTTAAAATTCAAAATCTCTAGTAAATTGTTCATCGCATTCTTTGCACTTTATTGTAATTGTTGCATAAAAATTATTGTGTTCATGTTTTAGAGAAGATGTATTTACACATTTATTTATCTTTTTTTTTTTTGGAGTTCTAATTTTATCATTTAATGATGTAAAAACTTCAAATTGATATTCACTCATACTATTATCTACTGAATCACTTTTTAAATCGTAACTACTTTCCGATGACGTTTCATTTTTTAACGATAATTTTTTACTTCTGCTACCTTTCCTTACATTTATTCCCTTTTCATTAATATAGAGACTTTTATATAATCTTGTTAAATAACCTTCAGTTAAAACCATTTTTAAGTATTGATTTTTTTTTTTTTTTTATATAATTTATATTGGTAGTTTACATCAATATAAGTATGCACATATATTTTCAAATTTCAATGAAAAAAAAAGTTTATTTCAATTCAACAAATTTTACAACACTCACAACTTTATAGATTTACTTTTTTTGTTAAGCGTTCATATTTTAACTAAAACCAAATGAAATATTTTAATTAAAAGAATTCAGTAGTTTTTTCTAAATTAAAAAAAAAAAAAAAAAAGAGAAAAAACGAGAAAAAACAAAAACATAAAAAAAAGAGAAAAATTATATGTATACATATATAAAATTAAAAATAGCATATGCACGCAACGTTACACACACCTATTTAAATGCCTTACCCATCTTAATAATAAATATATTTAATTCAAAAATTAATTAAATGTTTAATTATACATTTTTTTCTTAATACTGTGAAAATTTTTTGCGCTTAACATTGAATATTAAATATATTAGTTTCTTTTAAAAAAGATCTAATTACATAAATTCACTATTTACAAAAATTTTTTTTATTGTGAGTTTACAAAAACAATAGTAAAATTCATTATATAAATGAAAAATCTTAATTTAAAAGTTTCATTAAAACTACCAAAAGTTGTATTATACCCTTCCCTTGAGAATTCTTTACAACAATAATTTAAAAAGAAAAAAATTAGTTTTTTATTAAATTTTTACTTAAGTGTATCTATTAACAATATTATAAGATTTATTAATAAACATTTACATTAAGAAATTTCATCAAATCTTTTTATAAAATTTTATAAATTTGTGATATGACTGTATGAAAAAAAGATAAATTTTCAAAATATGAAACATATATCATAAAATCCCTATATTTTAATTATTTTTGGGTACTAATACAAGCTATTATATATTAAAATTTATATCTATATCTATATTATAAATACATATTTTTCTTTTTTTTTTTTTTTTTACAAAGAAATATATTCTAATAAAAAATAAAAAAGAAGAAAGTTGACCCTTTTAAATATTAAATTCAAGGAAAATAAAAATTTTTAATTTTGAAGTAAAATAGTTATATATAAAAAAAAATTTTTAAAAATGCAAAATTAAAAAAATTTTATGTTTATATTTTGTTCTCTTAATATCAAGAATACTTCAATAATAATTTACCACATATAAATTATTACAAAAAATTGGGAATTAAAAATACTTTTATTTTTTTTTTTTTTTTTTATTTCAGAAAAATATATTTAATATTAAAAAAAAAAAAAAAAAAAAAATTAGAGAAAAATTAGAGAAAAATGTTTATTGCTTTTTGTTATAGAAAGCTTTTTTATTTCACAAATATGTAAATGTTCTCTAAAATTTAACAAAATTCTAACTATTTTGAAATAATAACAAAATATGAAAGAATTATAAAATTATATGAATTTCTTATAAAAAATAATACAAAATTGTCCGTACAATTAACTAAAAAAAAAAAAAAGAAATAAAAAACTTACAAATTATTAAAAATGATTTTACTAATTCTTTTAAAAGAATATATCAATTTACGAAGTATGTCACAATACAAAATTAATTTGCAATGCTAGCCATATTTCTTTTTTTTTTTTTTTTTTTTTTTTTTTAAAAATACCATTTGCAAGTTTTTATATATATATTTTTTTAGTATCCTACTGATATTTTATCTTTCATTTTTGTTTTAATGGGATTCCTTCCTATATAAGAATTTCCTACATAAAAACGTATCCCTTGAAATTACAATATTTTTAGTTTGTTTATTTTTTTATTTTTTTTTATATTAAAATGAATTATTATTGTAAAACAAAAATAATAATAAAAGTTCTTGGGGCCGGTCAAACAGTTGGTAGATCATGCGTTATAGTAGAATTAGAAAATAGAAAAGTTATGTTTGATTGTGGTTGTCATTTAGGTTATAAGGATGAGAGAAAATACCCAAACTTTAATTTATTAGTGAGTGATAATAAATATGAAAAAAAAGTTGAGGAAGGAAATTATTACGAAAATTTAAATAGTGAGGTAAATATAAGTATAGTAAATAGTAGTATATTAGACAAAGAAAAGTTAATAAGTAAATTAAAAAAAATAAATGAAATAATTGATTGTGTAATTATAAGTCATTTTCATATGGATCATATAGGAGCATTACCTTTTTTTACTGAAATATTAAAATATAGAGGAACCATAATTATGAGTTATCCTACTAAAGCACTAAGTCCAATTTTATTGTTAGATAGCTGTAGAGTCGCAGATATGAAATGGGAAAAAAAAAATTTTGAAAGGCAAATAAAAATGCTTAATGAAAAATCAGATGAATTATTAAATTATAATATAAATTGTTTAAAAAAGGATCCATGGAATATTAACGAAGATAATATATACAATTGTATTAATAAAGTTGTAGGATTGCAAATTAACGAGACTTATGAGTTAGGGAATATGTCAATTACTCCTTACTATGCAGGACATGTTTTAGGGGCCTGTATATTTAAAATTGAAGTAAATAATTTCAGTGTTATATATACAGGAGATTATAATACAGTTCCTGATAAGCATTTAGGAAGTGCAAAAATACCATCCTTATCCCCTGAGATTTTTATATCTGAATCTACATATGCTACTTATATTAGGCCAACTCGAAAATCATCAGAATTAGAATTATGTAATTTAGTTCATGAATGTGTTAACAAAGGAGGTAAAGTTTTAATTCCAGTGTTTGCTATAGGTAGAGCTCAAGAATTATCTATATTGCTAGATGATTATTGGAAGAAAATGAAAATTAATTATCCTATATATTTTGGATGTGGTTTAACAGAAAATGCAAATAAATATTACAAAATATATTCCTCCTGGATAAATAGTAGTTGTATATCTACAAAAAAAAAAAATTTGTTTGATTTTACAAACATATTTCCATTTATGAATAACTATTTAAATGAAAATAGACCTATGGTTTTATTTGCTACTCCAGGAATGTTGCATACAGGATTATCATTAAAAGCTTTTAAATCATGGGCAAGTAATTCAAAAAATTTAATAATATTACCTGGTTATTGTGTACAGGGTACTGTTGGACATAAATTAATAATGGGAGAAAGAAAAATTTCAGTGGATGCAAATACAGTTATTAAGGTGTCATGTAAAATTATTTATTTATCTTTTTCTGCTCATGCAGATTCTAATGGTATACAACAACTCATAAAACATGTTTCACCACAAAATGTTATTTTTGTTCATGGAGAAAAAAATGGAATGGAAAAGTTATCTAAACATATTACTAATCAACACTTCATTAATTCTATGTGTCCTTCTCTTGGGCAAAAATGTGAATTTAATTTTTATAAGGAAAATGTAAACTTTGTTTATTTACACCATAATTTATATAAAAAAATACTCCAAAGTTTAAAAATCAACAAAGAAGAAAGTAGTAATTTATTAAAAGATATGAATATTTTAGATAAAGAAGATTTCAAATTATCATCATATAATGATAATATAACAGTTCCCTTTAATTCTTATATTTTTCATTGCACAATTCATCAAAAACCTTTCCTTTTCTTTTTTTCAAAAAAAGCATTAATATCTTATTTGAAAAAAAGGTTTTTTCCGATTTTTCTTTGCCATAAAAACCAAGTAATTAATATAAAAAATTTGTTTAATCAAAATGAAAAAGAAAATTTTCTTAAAAAACTAAAACAGAAGAAAAGGAAAAGAAAAAGTACAAATATGAAAGATATAAAAGTGTGTAAAGTTAAGAAAAACAACGATAAATCTACTGATGTGGAAACACATTCATTAGGAAATGATAAAAATAACAACTCTACAAGTAATATTAATAATACAAGTATCAATTCTCAAAATTTTAAAAGTGATATGCAATTAAAAAATTCCATAAGTAGTCATAGCGAAAACACATTTGCTCCACCTACCTATTCATATAAAAGTGAATATGAAGAAACCTTAGAAAAGCAAAAAAAATTAGAAAAAAATGATTTTGAGTTAAATAATAAGAATTCAATAAAAGAGGAAATAATGAAAAAAAACATAAAATTGGCTAGCAACTATTTAAATTCTTCTTACAAAAATCCATCTTCATCTAATAAAGAAAAAAATACATCTAAAATGTTTCCAGATAATAATGCTTCATTGAATATTTCAAGTAACAGTATTTCCTTAGATGGTAATAAAAATAATTTAAGCGATTGTTCTAATAATGATAATGAAAGTACTAGAAATAAGAAAATAAGCAATAATCATAAGGAAAATAAAAATAAAAACGATAATGATGATAGTATTAACAGTAACAATGAAGAAGAGGATGAACATGTGAGGATCACTGATGAATATGATAATATATTTGATAAGGATGATTTTAATGAATCAAAAGATAATTTTAATTTTGTTCACAATGAAGACAAAATAACTTTTCCTTTACTTAATTTAAGATTCAAAGAAAATATAAATATAAAATATCAAAGCTTTTACAACTTTGTTATAACATTTTTCCAAGAAAGTATGAATGCTAAAAATAAAAAAAAGATTAACTTTTTGGGGAAAAGAGTTATTATTAAAAATACAAAACATAATGATAATTTTTATTTTTTTTTATCTTTTCATTCATTAAGAGCTATTCATGATGGGAATAATTCGTTACTAATTCAGTGGTCATATATAGATGATTCACCTGATTCAGTTACTCACAAATTTATAAATTCGATTCACAAATTTATTGAAGATACTTAAAGTGATATGTATTTATATAACTAATAGTAATTTATTAATTTTAAATGATTATTTTTAATATAAAAAAAAAAAAAAAAATCATACACATACAATGTAAAAAAAAAAAAAAAAAAAATCATACATATACAATGTATAACTATTCAATATTTATCTTAATGACATTTTTTAAGTTTTGTATTTTTTTTTTTTTTTTGTATATATATATTAAACTATTCGTGAAATAATTAAATTTAATTATCAATATTTTTTAGTGTATTAATTTTTACTTTAATTTTTTTTTTTTAATTTTCATTTCTATAAATTAAAAACTTTCACATCAAAGTAAAATATTAAAAAATATATGAAAATAATTAATACTAAAACATTAATAAAGCATATAAAACAAAACAAAAAAAAATGAAAAAAGGTTATACAAAAAATAAAAAAAAAGAAAGAGAATATATGAAGCAATGAAAATATATATGAAATAGATAACACGGTGAAAAAAAAAAAAAAAAAAAAAATAACATAATTATAATAAAATGTTTTAATAAATTATATTTGTACAAAAAAAAAAAAAAAAAAAAAAAAAACTAAAAAAATTACTAAACATTTAAATCAAAAATTACTATTATAATTTCTCTGTAAAGACAAATAAAATAATATTGATGTAAATAAAAAAAATATATAGAAATAAAATTATAGAAAAAATAAAAACTAAAAATATATATATATATATATGGATATTATTTTGTAAGTTTTTACAAAAAAAAGAGAATTTGGAATATTTATTTATTTTTTTTAATTTGATAAAAATTAAGTTGATGGCTTCAATATAGACAAAATAGATAAAGATTTAATTATAGGAAAATGAAGTTCTGTTTTTTCATTCTCTAAAAAAGAACATAGTTGTTTGCTAATAGAAGAACATAATGCTTCTAATTTAGTTGAAATAGTTAATAAATGTATGAAAAAAATTTCTTCCATCTCTTGTTCTTTATTAGTATTTTCTTCTTTAGATGAACTTCTGAAATATTTTAAAGTGGTTTTATATATTTTTTTGCAATTTAATGTTAAAGAGACAAATTTGATAACTGTTAGTGCACATATTAAAGAAGATTCAAAAAAATCTGTAAAGTTAATCACTTTTTTTTCTCGTGATGAAACTAGTTCATGCGGTTTTTCTCTTAAAAATTTTAGTGTCTCAACCCAATATAACAAATTTTCATTCATTTCCAAATTTTGTACATTTTTAAAATGATTTACAAAATTATAACTTTTATTAAGTATTTGTATTTTTTTAAATTTTTTTTTTATTAGTTCTTTATATTCATTTATATCACTATTTTCTTCGTTTGAATTGATTATTGTTAATTCTTCGTCTTCTTCACTACTTGAGATAAAAATGTTGTAGTTTTCATTATTTGGTTCTATGTTAAAATTGGCATTATAATTTTCATTATATTCAGGAGTTTTATTAAATATAATATTATTTTTAATACCATGTATTAACTGCTTTTGAAATATAATTTTATCATTTTCATCTTCTTTTTTAGTAAAATTTTTCATTTCACTTAAATGATTATAATGAACATTTTTATTCTCCTTCATTTTTTGTTCATAATTATCATTGTTTTCATTATATGATTGAATTTGTAATTCATCTTCTAATTCGTTTTGTGATTCCATCTGTGAAATATTATGAGATTCATTCTGAGATTCTATTTGAAACAAGTTATTTGATTCTTTTATTGAATCGTTTTCATATTTAAATGGTTGCTCATTATCATAATCATTATTTTTTTTTTGGCTAATTTTATAAAAATTATGATATTCATTTTCACGTATTGAACCATTATTCTGTTTATTTTTATATTTATCATTATTTACATTAATATCATTATTATAAAAGAAATTATCATAAGAATAATTCAATGTTTCTGATAAAGTATTTAATATTGAACTAGTTATTAGAGTAGTAAAACTTCTGGATACATTATTTTCAGAATAATTTTCTCCCTTAATTTTAATTTTTTTTGTTTGTGTATAATTTTTTAAATCACCAAATAAAACATGTTCAGCTCTTGATTTAGTGTTTTTCAATTCATATTCTTTTATCATTTTTATAACATCATCATTAATTGGTATATTAACATTCCACAATTTTTTATCAAAATATCTTCTACTATTAAAAAGAATTGTATAAGCTCTATATAAATTATTTATATTTTTTATATTTAACTTTAAATGATTAAAAAAAATATCATATAATTCATCATCTTCCTTTTTTTTATAAAAAAAGTTATCAAAATTATTATAATGAAATTCATTAGAATATAAATAACTATTAAGTTCAACAAATAAATTTTTATTATATGATACTTTTGTATCCACACATATTATTAGTGGAATAAAAATTTCTATTAACAGTTTGTAATAATGCATATTAATTTTTTCATTTTTGTTTTGTTTTGAACTACTTGATTGGCTATTATCACTTTCTTCATTTAATTCATTCATTTTTATTTCAATATATTTTTTTTTATTTTTTACTTTATTATTTTTTTTTTTCTTTTTATATTCTTTATTTGTTTGTTTATTTCTATTTTTTCTACTTTCCTTGTAATTTTCATTATAAGATTTAGATTCTTTGTCATTTAAATTATTATTATCATCAATAATATTATTTGTCATATTAGTGTATGTTTTATTATTATTCCTTCTATTATTATTGCCTTTTCCTTTCATTTTTTTCCCATCAAAATTGTAACTTTTGATATCTTTTAAGGTTTTATTTATCATTATTTTATTTTCACTAATATATCCATTTATTGATAGTTTATTATCGGAAATATTAGGAAACTTATTATAATGGTTTAAGTATGCTGTGTTTTTTGTATATAATTTACAATTTTTATTTTTATATGAATCATTTAGATTTTCTTTCTCTAACTTTAAATTATTAGATAAAAAAAGTTTTTTGTCAAAAAAAAGTAGGGTTTCATTAACATAATCAGAGAATTTGTATTTTATTGATTCTTTTAAAGCTAACCACACATTTCGTGATACTGAATTTTTTTTATCTACTAAATGTATAAATAAGTATGTTGTAATTTCATAAAAATGCTTTTTTTTTAATTTATACGCACTCTTATCTTTATTACCACCATTCAATTTTTCTTCTTTCAAAATTTTAAATATTTCATACAGAATTTTACATATATAAACTTTCTCCATTGTTTCACTACTATTTAAGTATATCAGAATTATATGAGGATAAGTTAATATATTAATAAACGATGAACATAATGAGGATGGCCAATACTCACTTTTGTATTTACAAGCTTCTTTGAAAGCCTTTAATGTCTCTTTAATTATATATTTATCATTATTATCTAAATTTTTAAATAGAGAATTTAATATATTCAAAGTGTATTCCTCTTTTATAAATAAATAAGAACATTTAATATTGTTCTTTAATTGATATTTAAAAATATATTTGAATATAATGAAAAAATTAGTAAATGCAATGTGCAAATACTTTGTTATAAAATTATTCTTATATTTACAATTAATATAATAAAGAACTTTGATAAGAGGTTCTATTATTTTTAAATTTTGTTCATCTATACTTATACATATAGGAATTTGAGATAATATTATTAATGAAATAGTTATATAATTTATATTATCACTTTTAATAAAAAAATTTAAAAACTTAAATATTTTTATACAATCATTGTTTTTTAAAAAAATATATATTAATTTTATTAATCCATTTTCAAAAGAGTGTTTATAATATAATAATTTTTCAACTTTATGGTACTCATAGTAATTTAGTAATTTCTTTTTTCCATTTAATTTTAATAATTCTTTTATGATATTCAAGCAATTTAATGTATTATTGACACTTATATTACATGTGTAATTTTTATATATTTTTTTATTAAATTCATACACAGATACATTCTTTATTTTATTATTTTTAAATATGCTATTTTTTTTTAAAAAAAAAAGAGAGCTATTAACAGAACAAAAAGATGGCTTTTCATTATTTATTTTATTTTTATCATCATCAAATTTATCTTTAGATATACAATTATTATATCCACTAATAAAATTAATACTACTATTTAAATCATTGCTGTTTTTTCTGCTACTATTAATATAAATATTATTAATATTATTAGAAATAACATTATGATCATTATTAATATTTTCGTTATTAGAATTATGAGAACTATCATCAGTTTTTTCATTTTTGCTTGATTTTGAATTAGTAGATTTAGCATTTCTATTAATATATTTTCCATTATATAAATTGCTATTTAGTGATTTATTATTTTTGTCATTATATTTAAATACATTTTCTTTGTCAAATTTCATATCATTAAAAATATATTTTTTGCTTCCATCATTATTATTATTATTATTATTATTATTTAAATGAGAAAGTTGTTTTACACCTAAAACATAAAATATTATTAAAAATAATTCAATGAAATATTTTTTCGTATAATTTTTTATATATTGATTTCTAAACTTAAAAAAATGAAATAATAAGGATAATATATTACTTAAATTATTATTCAATTTTAAAATGTTTAAATTGTTTAATATGTAAAATAAATAATCTAATGTTTTATTTAATAAATATTCATTATTACAAATCATATAAATAAAATAAATATGCTCGTAATTATATTTAACTTGTAAAGTGCATATTTTACTTATGATCATATAAAAATAATTTTTGCACAATAATAAAATTATATATAATGATCTTTCTATAATATTCTGTTTTTTTTTTTTTTTTTTCTTTTTATATATTTCGTAATATACATTTAATGTACTATTTAATTCGTTTTCCTTTCTTATGTTTAAATCCCCTTTTTCAAGAATTTTCAAATTTTTTTCATTTAATATATTTATTTTAGTGTAATAAAATAGTTCACTAAAAAGCCTATTCATAATAATTTCCATATCACAATTACTAATTTTTTCATTCAATATATAATATATAAGTAAATTTAAACCATTTAATGATACATTTTTGTTTTTATTATGTATACAAGCTATGAGAATATTTACGTAAGATTTTTTTTCATCATTAGAAAAATCTTCAAGAATTATTTTGTTAATAAGTTTAAATAAATTAATTTCTTTATTTAAATTACTTTTAATATTACTTAATTTTTTTATAAATTTAATTTGATATTTGTTATTGTATATTTCTTTTATTCTATTATTTATATGCTTGTAAAATTTTTTATGAAATTCTACATTATATATATTATTTCTTATATTTCTATATTTAAATTTTTTATGTAGATTGCTATTATATACATTGTAATAGTTGTTATCATTATCATATATACACTTATTATTTTTATTTGGATTATATTTATGTTTATTACTTTTTTTATTCAAGGTACAACTATTCTCATAAAAGTATTTAATTTTTTCATTGATTTTTCCTTTTTTATCTCCATTTATTTTCTCTATATAATTTTCGTGATTATTAGACAATATTAATTTAGAAGGGATAACTTTACTCTTTTCGGTTATATTATTTTTATAATTTATAAGATCATAATTTTTTTCTTTTTTTATAACATTTTTTTTCAACTTTTTTTTTTTTATTGATTTTTTTTTATAACTAATTTCCCTTAATTTATTCAATGTATTTATAAGAACTTCTATCGAATTAAAAAAAAAAAAAATAAAATGAGATTTATTTATGACTTTTATATTTTTTAATTTTCCTATTAATATACAAATACAGCAAATACTGAAATAACTTATTATTTTTTCATCATCTTTTATGTAAGGAATTAATAAGCCTATACATTCACATAAGTAGTGATTGTTGTTTTTTACTTCATTTATATTGATTTCATTGAAAAATCCATTTTCTTCTTTTAATTTATTATCAACAATTTCATTATCATACTTATATTTTTCTTCATTGTTGTTTTTTTCCTCTACATATTTATTATTCACTTTATCAAAGGAACTTTCATTAATATCATTATTAATTTTAATATCATCTTTATTAATATCACTAATATTATTATTATTATTATTATTTATATTTTTATTATTACTCAAATTATTATCATCCTTATTGTTATTTAAATCAAATAAATTGCTATATGATATATTTGCACCAGAAGAGAATATTAAACTAAAATATCTTTCAAAATTAGATGAATTAAATGATAAAGGAGTTTTATTTCCCATTTCATTTTGTTTTGTCACTTTTACTAACATTTTGTTTTCATTTTTACTATTATTATCATCCATTGAATTGTTTTCATTTAGAGAAATTACTTCTTTTTTATCATTTTTTTCATAAGAATTTATAAAAATTTCTTTATATTTTTCTTTTGTTTTATTTTCATTTTTAAAATATAAGGGAGAATTTATTATTATTTCAGTTATCGTTCGAAAAAATAAAAATTTCACTTCACATATATTTGTTGATACACAAACGTCATGTATGTATTTAATTATTTTTGAAATAAAGTAAAAAGAATTAACGTCCAATGAAATTTTTACTATAATAGTTATAATATAATTTAAGCATGACAGAGAAATTTTCTCATATTCACTCAAATTAAAAAATATCTTATTATTTGCACTAGTAAATTTTTTGTTACCTGATTTTTTTCTATTTTTTATGATACTTAATGGTTTTGTAAGTTTTTGAGTATATTTATTAGATGATGAATCACCTAATTTGTCTCCACTTAATAAAATATTTTTTTCAAAATTTTTTTTTTTTTCCATTTTTCTCTTTTGATTTTTTACCATTATATTATTTTCACTTAAAATATTATCATAATCTTTACTATTCTTAGTACCGTAATCATTGCCTTTATTATTATCTTTATCATCATAATTATTGAAATATTTTTCAGTATATATACCTTCTTCTTTTTCTTCATTTTCTGTAAATACACAACTTTTATTTTTTTTATAACTATTCATAAAGATAGCGTTTTTTTCTTGAAAATTATATGATTCTTTGTATTTTTCTATGCCTTTCCCTTTTATGTTTCCTTTACTTAATATTTTTTGATTTTTGCTCGATAATGTTATGCTATCTTCTTTATGTTGATTAATTTTTTGTTTTGTTTCATATGACCTGTTCATACACAATTTATTTTTCTTATGAAATATTTTTATTTTATTTGTATCAACACGATTATTAATTTTTCCTTCTTGATTTAGTTTAATTTTATTTTCATTTTCTTGATATTTTTGATAAATTTTTTTCTTTTCGTTCCATACAATTTTTAAGAATAAATTAATAAGAATGGCTAAAATAATAAAAACAAACTGAAAATTTAAAGGATGACGAATGAACAATGAATAATATATAGTTTTCAATGAGTTTAATAAAATATCATATGAATAAACACCTATGTTTAAATGATCAATTTTATCAACTTCATTTGATAACGTGTTTTCCATAAATTCAGAAGAGGAATCATTATATATTTTATTATTTGTTAAAGAGTATATAACTTTTAAATTAATTTGTTTATCCAATTTTATTATTTCCTTAATATAAAATTCTTCATCTTTATTATGATCAATGATAGTTTTGTTATTTTCATTTATATGAATTTTTTTGTTTATTTGTTCTTTAAAAAATAACTCACTTTTGTTCATAATTTTTCTGTTAAAAAATTTAAAATATATGGAATATCTTTTTAAATAATTGAAATTTATATTAGTGATAGGGAAAATTAAGTTATATATATTTTCTAAATAATATAAAGCAGAATATATGATTATAAATTTATAAATATAAAGGAATGAATAAAATTTAACATTATTTGAATTTTCTTTTAAATATTCTCCACATACATCCTTAATTAAACAATGTTTATTTTTTATATCAAAATAATAAAAAAAGTCATCAACTGTTTGCATGTCTTCTTTAAGTAATACATTATTATTAATAGGATACTTTTCCTTATCTTTTGTTTTCTTAGGAATATTCATATCATTATTATTAATAATATATGTATTTTTTATTCCTTTTAACTTTTTTGATATATTTTTTAATGATTTTAGCAAACTCGATTGCAAATTTATTTCTTTTTCTTGATAAAGTGAGAAAATAATTGGATCTACTAAAAGTTGAAATGTAAATAAATTAACCTTTTCATCAGACATAAATTTATGTAAATCCTTGACATTATTAATTTTATTATTATGATGGATATTATTATTATTATTATTATTATTATAATAGTTACCATTGTCATTATTATCATTAATATTTTTATTATTATTACAAGAAGTAATAGTAATATTATCATTACGACAATTATAAATGTAGCTATTAATATCAGAAAAAATAGCTCTTTTTAAATTTGTGTCTAAATATTTATCATCCTTAAATTTATCAGTTATATACTTTTCCTTTTTATTATTTATTTCCTGTACTAATTGAGCATCATTAAAAAAACAATTACTTTTATCAAAGAATATATTTTCAAATATATGATTGTTTTTTTTTATAGTTATGTATATATTTTCAACGTAAATATCGAATATTTTATTGTTTACATAAAATTCATTAATTTTATATAAATCTTCAAATTTTTTAGAAGATATTTTTTTCATGCATAATCCTATACTTAATATTAATGTATTACGAATATTTTCCGCGTTAATTACACCATTTGATTTTCCAAATATAGAGAAAGCACTACTTTTTCTATTTGCTATATCTGAATAATATACGTTATTTAATAAACAAATAATATTAAAAAAATTGTTTTTTCTTAATAAACTCTTAATATAATAGGAAGCTACATTTTGTTTAAAAGATTTATTTATAGAAAAATTAATATCATTTTGTAATACAAATAAACCTAATTTCTCTTCAAATAATTCTATGGATTTTTTTATTATTTCGTTATTTTCATCTAATCTATTTTTTAATTCATCTAAATAATCTATTTTTTTTTTATCTATTTCAACTTGATTAATAGAGTCTATTTTCAAATTATTTGCCCCATTATTATTTAAAAAATTTTTTTCAATAGAACCTAACGATATGGTTTTGTTTCTAATGGTCTCATTTATTTCTTTATTATTATTATTTCCATTATACAAAGCTAAAATATTTATAACATTATTTTCGTAAGTAATTTGGTAATTTTTAAGATAGTCTAAAAAATTTTCAATATTCTTTTGTTTTAATGTATCATTATACTTGTTTGATAATAATATAAAATTATTAAAATCTAACTGATTTTCATTTACACATTTTACATAAAAATCATTTTTTATTAATTTTATACATTCTATACATTTTTTAGTATATGTTGTAGTACATTTTTCTTTATATAAATTAAAAAAATGAGAATTGTAAATTTGTGAAAAATGACCATATAATGTCAAAAATAAATTTTCTTCTTCATTTATAGTTATCTCCTCATTTAGTTTGAAAAAAATACTAATTAATTTTTTAGTAAAATCTTCATTAAAATATTTAATAATTACACACATCATATTGATAATACTTAAGCGAAAAAGTGTATTTTCAAATTCATTATTACTCTGAATAATTCTTAATATTTCTATCAAAATGAAAAAATACATAGTAGTATAACTTTGAAAGTTTAAAACTTTTTTTCTTTCTCTTTTTATATAACTACTAAAAATTATGTGACTTAAGTGCATTATTTTCATAAAATAATAATTGCTTGATTCTATATTTGAAAAATAAAGAATATTATTATTACTATTATTATTATTATTATTATTATTATTATTATTATTATTATTATTATTATATTGATCATTAATCATTTCACCTATTCCTTTTAGATTCATATTAAAATAAACTTTAATAAATAAATTGATTTTACTTTTTATATTTTTATTATGCTTAAAAGTATATGTTTTTAAATAGGTATTTAATAATTTCTTACTAATAGTTTTTGCTATTTTTTTATAGCATAATTTTATTATATAATTATAATATTTTCTCCTTTCAATTTTATCATAATATATTTTAGATATCTTGTTGCCTTTTTTAATAGTATTTTTCATATTTGTTGAAATATTTTTATTAAATAGGTTGTTCTCAAAAAAAAAATTCCATTTGTCTTTTATACCTCTTTTGGTTTTTATTTCATCATTTATGTGTAACAAATTAAATATTAATTCAAAATATGTAAAATTTTGAATTGAATTAATACTCTTATTTTGTGTAAAACTTATTAAAATAGAAATAAGTTGTAAACTTAAGAAGGAAACAACAAATTCAGGATGAAAACAGTACATAAATAAAACTGATAAAATTTTATTCATATTTGGTAATACTAAACAATTAAAATGTAATCTTGAATGTATTCTTAAATTTTTTTTGATCATGTTATTATATAATGATATACATATAATATTTAAAGATTTTAAAAGAAATAATATAATTTTATGGCTATTCTTTATATTTATCATAAATTCTAGTAATAATGAATATAATATCCTTGGAGAATATAATGAAAAATTATACTGAAAAGCTAATGAAATCAATTTCTTTATATATTGCACTGAAGGGATATTATATAAAAAAAAATGAAAATATGTATCGAATAACATTTTATTGTAGATAAATCCATTTTCTAAAATTTTATTATCCGGGTTATTTATATCAATAATGTTACCATCATTATTAACAAAATAACCATATTTTTTACTTTTCAACTTAAAAGATGTTTCATCACTTAACAATACATTTAACATAAAATTAAAGATATTTATAATGTATTTATTTGGTATAAGAATCCATGTTTTTAATTCATTTTCATGATTACTGTTGTTTCCTTTATTATAGTTACAATTTTGTTTTTCATTACTACTAAAGTTATATTTTTCATAAAAATTTTCACTTTGTTTCGTAATATCTTCTTTATTAAATATATTTCTTAATATATTTTTATCATCTTTTGAGGAATTTATTTTATTTATTTCAAATTGATTTATAGAGTTATTTACATTTTTAGAATTACTCATCCTAGATAATTTCTTTTGTTTTTTTATAGAATCATTTTCATTTCTATACAAAACAAATAATGGGCTATTAACCCTTGGAAATAGACTAAATATTGCATTTGGGTTGTATGAATAATAATTAAAATAATGATAATATGATAACGTTAAATTGATCTCTAATATAATATAAATAATATTTAAGTCATAACTAAATCTCTCAGATATACTGGAAATTATTTGAATAATTAATTCTATATTTATATTATTTTGATCATTATCTAGAAAACTATTTAATTTTTTGAATGAACGCTTATAATTAGTAAGTTTTTGTTGAATATTCTGATTAGATATGTAAATTATATTACTAGTATTTAGTTCATTTGATATTAATAATATATATTGCTTTAATATAATTAAAGATACTATAATTTCAATTTTATTATTTGTTTTCAACTTTTCTTTCAAGAAGTTAAAAACACAGTTATTTGTATATACACATAATATGAATATGTTAAATATTTCCATAATTTCTATAAATGTATAAATATATGTGTCTGATGTTATATTTTTAACGATAGTTTTTGAATTATTATTCACATAATTTTGATTAATTAATATATATAATAAAGAATATGATAGTTTTAATATATGATTAGTAAATGATACTACCAAATGAATTTTGTTTATGCAATTTTGTAATATAATCCTAAAGCTATTTATTATTATGTAATCAGGTACTACTTTTAGATTTGTATAATTTATAAATATTTGTTCATCATTATTATAAATACATGACATATCATTTATACTTACATTGTTAATTGTAGAATTAAAAAAAACAAAAAAATAATAAATAAATATTTCTATTGTTTTTTTAATATTTTCATCACTATTTGCATATAGTAAGATCTTAGAAATAATATAAAGAACTTTAATGTAATTCTCATTATTATATTTCATATTAAGAATTATATTAAAATATATATGTAAAAGTTTTGTGCTTATAATATTTATGTAACTTATTTTTTCTGTATCTATTTTAAATATAGTTGCATTTTTTTTTTCATGCAACATATTAACACATTTATCGCTTGTATTAACAAAATTGTTGTCATTCTTAAATTGATTACACTCTTCATTGTATATGTTTATATTTCTTTTAAAATATAAATCCTTATAATCTTTATTATTATTTTCAAGTTTTTGCTCATCTCTAATCTTATATTTTTCATTATTATCATTCAAGCTTCCTTTACTAATTATATTAGCATTGGACTTTTCATCATCATATGAGTCATCTTTATCTTCATTTAATTCTTGTTTTATATCACTACCCTTTTTGTCTTCAATTTTATTATATTTAAATAAATTATCATCTTCTTTTGAATAATTAAAATAATTTTCCCTCATGGTATAATTAATATTTTTTTTATATCCCTTATATTCATTTTTACTTATGAATGTATTATTTGAATAATCTTCACTTATATTTATGGAATCAATTTTTTTATTACTATTTAAAGATTCAATACTTGTATTAGGAGGTATAACTTCGTTGTTATTATTATCACACTGATTTTTTACTTTTTTCTGATATAATTTCATTTGATTAATATTATCATTAAAAATATTATTATTATTAATTTTATTTAAAAAATTAGAATTCAATGAAGATTCTCTAGTATTAGTAGTAAATGTGTCTTCACTTGTGTTTTCTATGGATAGATGGATTACATCATTTTCAATATATACATTTGTATTTTTTTTATTTGATGATATAAAGTTTTTTTTTTTATATTCTTTATTCATATAAAGGATATTATATAAAACTGATGGAAAGTGAATATTTCCAAAAATCTTCATTAATATGTGATAAATTATATCTATATGTTTATTAGAGTCTAATGAGAGGATGCTTTTAAATATATCAATAAGCACATTTTTGGTTAAGTGTGGTATTTGAATAAATATATCTTTATATAATTCAAGGTATATATATATATTTGAATTATTATTATTATTATTATTATTATTATTTGATTGAATACAATAATTAATTTTTTCAATTATTTTTTTTTTAAAATAATTATCTTCTTTTATTATGCATAAGATTAATAATTGAGTTATTATTTTGTGTCTTTCATCATTTCTTTTTATATATAAAAATTCATTTAAAATGAAATTAATTATATTTTTTATAATGTTATTAATCTCTGATGTTTTTCTAAATTGTTTATTGTTTGTGTTATCATTTAAATCTAAACTAATATCTTTACTATATGTTTTAATATTATATATAAATTTTGATTCATTTATTAAATATATTTTGTATTCTTCTTTTTTTAAACATTTTAAATTATCAATTTTATCATATGCAAATATATTTACAAAATTATTACGCACTTTACTTTTTAATTCATTATCTTCCTGTTTTTTTAATGAATTACTATGTTTTCTTAATTCGTTAGTATAAATAAAACAATACTCATCACCATCAAAAAAGGTGTATTTTAATAGATTGTCAAATATATGTATATCTATAAAGTTACTACTCTCTTCTATTTCTTCTTTTTCTACATGTTTCAACTCATTTTCCTTATTTTCTCCAAAATATTTATCAATAATATCACTAAAATTATTATAAATGCAATAATGAACAAAATCATAAGTTAAATAAAGAAGAAGTTTCTGATTTTCATGACTTACTTTTTGTATTTGTAGAAAAGAAAAAACATAATTTAAAATTTCACATTTATGATACATAATGAATATTTTCAATGTGTTTACTATTTCATGATTCAATTTCTTATCTTCGTCTAAACAATTTAACAAAGTAAAAATTATTTCTTCTATTTCAAAATTTTTTATACTTCCTTTTCTCTTCATTTTGTCTAAACATTATTAAATTAAAAGTTAATATATTTAAATAAAAAAAATAAATATATTTAATTTTATATTAAATTCTATAAATTACACATACATATATATTACCAAAAAAAAAAAAAATAAAATATTAACCTAGAAGTAGCAATATCATCTTATTTTATTATTATTAAATATATATAGAGAAAAAAATATATATGCATATGACATTTTATAATTTAAATAAAAGATAAATAAACATATATATAACATTTATACTAAACACATTTAAGTATTAATAAAAAAAAAATATATATATTTTAATTTGTTCTGAAAGTTTTAAATTACAAAAAAAAAAAAAAAAAAAAAAAAAAAAAAAAAAAAAAGAGAAAGTAAAAAAAAAAAAAAAAATAAAAATAAATCATATATATTTAAACAAAAAAAAAAAATCATAATAATGAAAATTGAACGTTTCGTTCTACTTAATAAATTTAAGATTGAGAATATATAAAAAAATAACCTAATGTAAAAAAATACAAATAAATCATTATATAAATGTAAAAAATTAAACATAAAATAAAAATTGAATCACAAATAAATAAATATTTATGGCTACAATTTATAAGTAAATTTTCATTTAAATTTATAAATTTAAAATGTTAAAAAATATAAAAATGAAATTTATACATAAAAATTTAATATTTATATGATTATAATGAAATATAAGACAGAAAACGTTTTAAATAAACAAAATTAAAATGAAAAAATTTTTTTATTTTTTCTGCTCTTTCAAAAATTTAAAAAAATAATTATATAAAAAATTTGTATATATATTTTTTTTTCTTTTTTTTATCAAGTTAATGAAATAACAGTATATTTTCTTATTATAATAAAAATATCTTCAAATTTTAATTACAATTCATCCGTCTAAATTTGGGTTAAATAACTTCATAAAACTTTCAAAAGCTTCATATAAATATAAATATATATATAACAATTATTAATATAAAAAAAATTAATTCAAAAAAATAAAATTAAAATAAAAAATAATGGTATTAACTTTTAATGTATATTTAAATAAAAAATATTTATATATAAAAACAATAATTTATAATTTTCTAATTTTTTACTCTCTTAATGCATGTTTATGTTATTTCAAATATGTAATTGATTTTTGCTTTATTAAGTAAAAAAAAAATAAAATAATATAAAATAAAAAAAAAAATTTGGTGTGTATAATTATTTTTACAACTATTTTTTGTTTCATAAATAAAAAATTTATTCGATCATTAAGTATTTTTTTTTTATATTTTTTACTAATTTTCTAAAATTTTTAGTAACTTCTTTAAAGAAAAAGAACATACTTTTTCTATTTTTTTTTCTCGTTATTCTGATGATAGTGGAAAATAGACTAAAAGCCTATAAAAAATTTGTTAATTTACAAAAGAAACATAATATATATATATATATTCAAAATTTACATAAAATAGAAATATATTGGTTTTTTTAATAAAGACATACGTTCTTTTAATTTTTATTTATTTTCATAAAACTTAATAAAAAATATATCCTTAATAATTTTTTAAGGAAATTTTCCCAGTTAAATTATTTTAATGATTATTTATTTTGTATAATTTTTTTTGAAAGATTTAAAATTAATTTGAAACTTTCTTTTCATTAAACTAAAGGTATAATAACTTGTATAGATATAAAAAAAAGAAGAGATTAAAAATATTATATCATTTTTGAAAAATTTTTAGCAACGAAACAGTTTTTATTTAGATATATAAAAACATGTGTAATCCTAATTTTTACTAAATAGATTACTAATGATTTTTTTTTTTTTTTTTTTTTTTTTTTTTTANNNNAAGAAGAGATTAAAAATATTATATCATTTTTGAAAAATTTTTAGCAACGAAACAGTTTTTATTTAGATATATAAAAACATGTGTAATCCTAATTTTTACTAAATAGATTACTAATGATTTTTTTTTTTTTTTTTTTTTTTTTTATTATATATGATAAGAATAGAAATACAAGTATTGATATGAAATTATTTTATATTGAAATTATACATTGAAAATTTTTCATTGGCATTTAGCAAAAATGATAATTATATATTATTAAGAAAATTATTTTTTTTGTCATTATTTTCTTTTTGCTCAAAATAGAAAAAAAGAAAAAAAAAAAAAAAATTAAATATTAATTAAATCTGTCTTCTTATTTTTATTATTTAAAGAATACTTTTTAAAATAAAATTTTGAAGGCATTTTCTTTTAAATCATAAGTTTTGTGAAAATAAAAAATATATATAAAAGCATAACATACCATATCAACAAAAACTTTCTCTTTTTTAAGACAATATAATAGAATGTTTTAATATTATCAAAAAATTACAAGTATTTTTATTATTTTTAATATTTTTAAAAAAATATAATATTTCTTTATATATTATAGTGTAATAAAAAATTAAAAAAAAAAAAAAAAAACCCATATATGTAAATATATATTTCTTAATATATTCCTTAAATAATAAGAATATAGATATTACTACTAATTTATATTTTTAAGTCATATATATATATATATAAAAGAAATTCCAATAACTGTTTGGTAGATATTTTACTGTATAATATTTCTAAAAGTTTTTAGTTTATGAATAGATGTAAATATAAATATATATATTGATCTTGAAGACTAAATTCTAAAAATATAAATATAAAAAAAAGGATAATTATAAATAACTTTTTTAATCTAAATCATATTTCTATAAAAATGTAGAATATTAATGTAAATAAATTATAAGGTTTATTATATATTTAATTCTCAAAATTATAATATTAGAATTAAAAAAAGAATTTAATAAAAAATTGAATTATATTATTATTTCTCATTTTTCTATAAAAATTTTATAAAGACTTAGTTTTAAATATAATAATTTAAAAAAATGAAAAACAACAAAAAGGAAAATTATGGTTCAATTTCGAAAAACAGTATTGACAGTGATGAAATGAATTATAATATACATAATAATAAAAAGGATATTATAAAAAAATATCTAAGTGCAGTAGAGGAAGATATGAAAGAAGAAATAGAAAACTTTTCAGACAATATTTTAAAAAGTAATCTTTCTTACAATCAATCTGAAGAAAGTAGCTTTATAGAGAGTGAAGATAATATTATCTTAACAGATAAAGATATTAGGAATTCAGATGATGAAAAACATTTAATAAATAAAGAAAATATAAATAATTCTTTTTCAAATAGGATAACTAATATTATTAGTAATAGCGATAATAATTCAAATTGTGTAAGAAATATATATTGAAATTAATAAGTAAAAATTAAAATTATAATTAAAAAAAAAAAACCCAAGAAAATAAAATAAAAATATATCTCATTAAATATTTTTTATTTCGTGTTTTTTTTTTTTTTTTTTTTTTATTTAAAAAAAAATTTGATAGTTTTCATTAAATGAGGATCTTAATTATCTTGAAGATAAAAAAAAATTTAATGATGAAAAGGAAGAAGGACAGTGTGAAAAAGAAGAGAAAGAAGAACATTATGAAGAAGAAGAAGAAAAATATGAAGTTATGAGTGAAGAGAAAAACGAAAAAGAAGATTTAACGGAAGAACAAATTGAAGGAAAGAAAAATAAAAATAAGATTAAGATATTAAAATTAAAATAATAATAATAAGACTAATAATCAAATTTTTTATTATAAAAAACACTTTATTAATATAGGAACTGATAAGGATATAATTTATAAAATTAATGATAATTTAGAAATAGATACTCTTTTAACTTTAGATAAATCAAGTGAATTAGCATCCATCAATGTAGAAGATGATAAATTTTTTATGAATCAATTACAAACAATTAAAAAAAAAAATTTAATTTTTGAGATGGAAATCAAAGGTAAAGATTAAATACATACTATAAAAAATTATAATATTCTAAAAATGCTATATATATATATATACTTTTTTTTTTTTTTTTGTTTTTTAATAGATATAAACGATTGGAAAACTAAATATACATATTTAATTTCATCGTATAATTAATATTAAAAAATATATTTATTAAAATGATTATATTTTTATACTTTTCACTTATATATATATTCGATTATTTATATATATATATATAATAATTATTAATCATTTAATAAATGAATGGATTTTTTATTTTTTAAAAAGGTTTCGTAAATTAGACAGAGAAATTAATAAAATTATAAATAATGAACACATTAATTTATTAACTGTTAGAACGAAAAGAAAAAATAAAAAAAAAAATAACAAAATTATAAATATTAATTTCAAAAAAAAAAAAAAAAAAAAAAAAAAAAAATACTTTCTACAGAGAAGAAGCATTAAACAACACAAAGACTTTTTAGACAATGAATATAAAGAAGTTAATATATATAAATATTTAATTTTTTAATCAAATGTGTTATTTTTTCTATATTATTTTGAAATATATATAAATATAAACTTATAATGTTACAGTGGTTATTTATATCACAAAAAACTATATCTGAATTTAAAAAAAACATTGGAACACATGGTAAGAATTATGCATATATAGGAAAAAAAAAAATAATAAATGTAAGAAATAATTTATTAAAATGAATAAAATTTTTCTATTATTTCTATTTTATATATATTAATTAATAGTTTCTGAATTAAATGAAAAAGAATATTTAATTCTATCAAAAAATATTTTTGAGAATTTAAAGGAAAATAATATAGAAGAGGTGAAATATAAAAATTTAAAAAAATAATTTCTTTTTCCTTCTTTACTTTTTATGTTTTTTTTTCTTTTTTTTTTTTTTTTTAAGAATAATATAAATTCTATATTATACTTATTTATTATAAAGCAAGAATTAACAATTAATGATAGTCTAATGAAATATTTAGAAGATTGCTATTTATCTACTAATACTGGTGAAAATGAAAAGAAATAAATTATACAACTGTTATAAATATAAAAATATATATCTTTTTTTTTTTTTTTTTTTTTTTGTAAAAGATAAATTTTTGCAAAACACAATGAAAAAAATAAATGAAATGAAAAATAATATTAAGAATATTGGAGGAAATACAGTACTTAAAAAAACTAAAGAAAACATTTATTACTTATATGTATAATATATATTATAACCCTTATTTAGGGAAAATGGAATGATGATGATAATAATTATTTTATAAAAGTATACGAGAATAACAAAACTTATGGAGATGAAGTATGTTAATCATAATTTTTCTATTAATAATATATAAATCTTAATTAATATTTATAACATTTAATAAATTCTTTAAAAATATATTTTTTTATATTTATAAAGATAATTGTTAAAATATTAAAAAATGGCATAAATAAAAGTGAGGAAGAAATATACGAACATATTTCATGGTATCATAAATATCTCACTTATAACAATTTAAAGATAAAATATATGAATAACATTAACATCATAAATATTAATGTAAAAAAGAAACAATAAAATTTTCTTTTCTTATTTTACGAAAAAAATAAAATTTATGAAATTATATTTTATATATATATATGTATTTTTTTTTTTTAGGACCAAAAGAAGAATAATTCTAAAGATACAGAAAAAAAATTTATGATACAAAAATGGAAGGAAAAAAAAAGTAGAAAAAAAAAAATTGATATAGCATTTTTAAATGATGTGCTTATTTTAAACCTTTATATGATAATTTTTTTTAAATAATGATAATTCTAATTATATTTAAATTCATTGTACTTCAGAAAAAGAATCAGAGATAAAAATAAAAGAGCTAGAACAAACAAAAAAAGAAGAAATGAAAATAAAAAAAAAAATGAGAGAGGAGTATTTGGAAAAAAAAAAAAAAAAAAAAAAATTAAAATATTATAAACATCATTTTATAATATTACATTCCATTATATTTCGCCTTTTTCTTTTTTTTTTTTTTATACAAAAAGAATTAAAAAAAAAAAACAGATGATACAAGAACACTTAAACTCAAAAAAGGAGGAAATGAAAAAAAATGTTAATCTAAAAAATTAACAAAAAAAATTTAATTTAAAATAAATCATGAATATATTTTATTTATATAACAGAATCAAGAGAAGCGTCAAAAGAGTATCCTTTCTGAAGAAATGTTGCAAAGAATAAACGAGAGAAATGAAAGGTAAAAAGAGAAAAAAGTTAAAATTATGTGTAAAGATAATTTATGTAAGAATCTTAAAAAAAAAGAAAATGTGTTAAAACTTTAATAACACTATTTTTTAGAATTTTACAAAAAAAAGTTCAATCAAATTTAAATTTCAATGAAGAAAATAATGAAAAGGATAAAAAAATAAAGCAAAAATATACGCACATCCAAAGTAAATTACTAAGTAACACTGGTATATTAACACATTTTTCAAAATTTAAGAAATATTTGATTATGTAATTGATTTCTATAGCTTTTCTTTTGTTACATATTTTGTTTATTTCAAAATTATTAAAATTAAATAACTAAATGCACAAATATTAATTTTATCTATAAGTTTATTTAGATAATTTTTTATTTTAAAATATTGACAATTTTTTTTCTTCATTATTTTACCACACATAATAATGCATGTATATAAATTAAAATTATTAATTTTAACTTTTCTCTGTTTTACACTATTTTTTTTATTAATAATATATATATATATTCATATTTAAATATATATGAATTTTTTTTTTTTTTTAAAAATAAAATGCAAATGCAATATATTTTTTTTTTTTAATTAAATATATGTATATTCATTTAATTTATTAAAAAATGAATTCATTTAAATATAGAATTTTTGTTTATTACATTTATTGAATTCATTTAATTATATTTAAATATAATTCATTATATAATTATGTATATATATATATATATATATTTTTTTTTTGTTTTCAAGAAAATATTTTAAAAAGGATTGAATCAAGTGTTGAGACTATAAAGAATATTTTATAATATACATATTTATTTTAGATTAATTATTTTTTTTTTTTTTTTTACATTTATTTTTTTACGTTTTTTTTTTATTTATTCATCATTTATGAGTATGAAAGTAATAATTAAAGGTTTTTATAAATATTAGACTTCATTTTTTGAATTAACTATTGATAATGTGTAAAAAAAAAAAAAAAAAAAAAAAACTCATATAGATTAAATCAAATATGTAAAACAAAAAGTTACTTTAAAAAATTAAAATTTCAAATATAAAGAGCAACAAACAAGATAATGAATAATATACACTTAAGTATTTATATATTTACTTTTTTCCTTTTACAAATATTCTTAAAAAGTAATATACTAATTTGCTACAGTTGTATATAGAAAATAAAAATTTTGAAAAAATTATTATATATTTATTAATATTTTTAAGATTTTATTTTTTATTAATAACTGAATTTATTTTAATTATTTTTGTTATAGATTTATAAATAACAGTGTAATAATAATAATAATAATATAAAATACCAAAAAAAAAAATGTTATTTTTTTTTTGATATTTTTAGATATTGTATCAGAAAATGTTACATCTATTAAAGAAAAAAAGAGCAGAAGTTCAAGTACTATAAATACTGTAGAGTCATTAGTGGAAAATATTTTAGATGTTGTTCAATTTTTAGAAGATGTAAATAATTACGTTATTGATTTTAAGAAGGAAATGTTAGGTAAATTAGAGCTATTAGTACATCATGATTCAAATTTGTATGAAACTTATGAGTATAACGAAAATATTCTAAATCAAATATATTCCTATAATGAGAGTAAATTGAAAAGATATTACGAATACATAAAAAATGTGAAAACAGAAAAACTAAAAATGTTTAATGATACTATAGACAATTTTCACAAGGAAAATATTTTTTATCTAAACTTTATTTATAAGAATCTTCTTACAAAAATTGATTTAATAAGTGATTTAAATAAAAAGGTAAATATATGTCTATATATAAATATATATATATATATATGTGTATTTTTAATGTTTTAAAAATTGTGTTCATTTTTTTTTATTGTGTATAATTTTTATATTTTAATATTTATGAAGTGACTTTAGTTTTCCTATTTAAATTTTATTATATAATTTTTTTTTTATAGGAATTGAATGAAGAAAAAAAAAAAAATTTAATGGAATTAACAGAATATTTTGATAGTTTAAAAAAGGAAATGTTAAAAATGCAAAATAAATTTAATGAAATAATAGAGGAAGAATATGCAACAATAAAAAATGCAAATATCAATTATTTAAAATCATTAGAAGTTTTTATAGATGAATATTTAAGATCAAGTAATAATTTTGATGCATTTTCTAGTTATGTGATAAACGATTTTTTATTAAGTGATAAAAAAATAAATGTTTTAAATTATGATAATAATTCTTTCTTTAAAAGTAATTTTATGAGTTTTAATTTCTTATTTAATTTCATTAAAGAAATAAAAAATGAAAAAAATTTTAATGTGTATATATATTTAAAAGATCCTATAATTGAAGGAAATGAATTATCATATTTAAATTATTATGTTGTTATTGATTTAAATATTATTGATGTTATAATAAAAAATGTTGAAATAATAAAAAATAAAAATAAATATAAAAAAAAAGAAATAGATGGTGTATTAATATGTATTGATAATTATATAGTAAAATATAACATTTTATCAAGTAATGTATATTTAGATATGCAAATGAATATTAAACCATTTTTCCATAACAAGAAATATAAGGAATATAATTATAATAAAATAAAAGAAATATCTCAATATTTGGAAAAACAATATATTTTAAATTATAAGAATACTGTTTTTAATGATGATTTCTATAAATACAATATTGAAAATACAATAAAAGATAACGAATATATTTTAAATAGATCTGTATATATAAAGAAAAAGAATATCTTCTTTGATTCAGAAAAAGAGTATTATAAAAAATTCTTGTCATTATATACATATGGAGAAATTTTAAATATAGTGTGTAATAAAATATATACCTGTAATAAAAGTATGATTAATACATTGAACGAAATAAATAAAAATACTTTTGTTTTAGAAAGTCATTTGAAATTAAAAAATGAATTGAAGAAATTTTTTGAATTGAAACAAAATGAATTATTAAAATATAAAGGTAAAGAAGATTCATGTTTAAATAATAATCTGTTAATAAATAATTCCAATAATTATAATAATAATTCAGACAAATGCTATGTAGATAATAATAATATATTTAATGGTTATAGTTGTTTAAAATCACTTAACACTATTCCTATATCAAATAAAAGTGGTGAATTTATCAATATGGATAATATTGACGATTATTTAAATACTTATTATGTTTCTTATCAAGAATCTTTTAAAGTTTCAAAAAAAGAACAATACTATTCTATTTTATATCATATTTTTGAAAGTTATATTAATAATATAGATTCAGATAATATGAAGAATAGATATCCCAATGTAAAAAATAAAAATATTTCTATAAATTATCTAGGAGTATTACCAGAAATAATAAAAGTTTATAAAACATTCAAATATTGTGATTCTTTATATACATTAGCAAACAGTTATATTGAAAAAATTCCAAATGATTTTAATATAGAAAATGAAATAGAAAATGAAAATAGTGAAAATGAACAAAATAACGAAAACGATGAAATAACAGATGAATCGAATTTTTTAAAAAAGCAAAATCAGAAATATATGCTTTTATTTCAGCGACATTTACAAGAGGAAATTAAATTTATTAATTTTTTTGAAATTTTAGTAAAAAAGAAATTAGGACTTATTCTAGAAGAAAATGAATATTTAAAATTATATATTTTTTATGGAAAAAAAAATATACCTAACTTACCATTTACACCATTATTTTTTAGTTGTAGAACAATTATCAAGGTAGAAGTGTTAAGAGATGTAGATACAAAACAAATTATTTATTCTAGTCGCTCTTTTTTTTTAGAAACTTTAGTAACATTAAAAGAGTACAAAATTAAAAATGAAAGTGCCTATATAACTATTGAAACTTCCAATGAAAAAAAATCCACAAAGAAAAGATTAAAAATGGACATCTTAAATAAAATATCCCCTATGTCACAGATAAATGCTTATATTATTTCTAGTAAAGGTAGAGAGAAAGTTTATCACAAAGGAAATGTTTATCAGAGATCAGCTACAGATATAAAACATGTTATTAGCGATATAAGAAACGATTTTTTAAATATTATTTTGCCGCAATACAATTTATTTGATTTATTTGATAATTATGTATACATAATAATTTGTTTAAAAAATGAAAACTGCTAATATTACAACATTTTTCATCCTATATTTATTTATATGCATTTATATAAACTTTCATACAGTATATATGTTAAGTATTTTTTATTTGATATAAATTTTATAAATTTTGTTTTTTTAAGAGATATAAGCCTAATATGTATTAAAATTTTATTTATTACAAATAATTTAGTAAAAACAAATTTTTTGATTTTATAAATCTCTTTTATTCCATTTACATCTTTTTAATTCTAGTTATTTTCAATATTTATGAATTTATTATGTAATTAATTTTTATTTTTACTAAAATATGGAAATTTATTATCTCTCCGTAAAGACAAATTATTAATTATTTAATTTTCCTTTCTATTACATATTGCTTTTTTGTTATATATAATTCTTATTTATCTTAATATTATGAAAATTTTTTTTTTAATAAAAATTTTAAATCTTAGTATAAAATAAAATTATTTTTTTTGTTATTTTTTAAATTTTAAAAATTTAAAAGCCTTTTCTTTACTACATATTTTTTTATCTGATGAGTTATACTTCATATTATAATAGTAATTAAAAAAAAGAAAAAAAAGTCTTACAATTAGACTATAAGAATTTTTCAAAATTTTGAAAATTTACACTATCATTTTTACTTTCTATAAGTAAAAAATCATTTTTTCGTATTTAAAATAAAAATAATTTCTTACATAAAGTATTTATAATAAATAATTATTCTTTTCTCTTTTAAAAAAAATTTTCATTTAAATAATAATATAATAAAAACAAACATTATAAATAAGATATTATTGATATAATATAATAAATTAAAGAAAAAAAAAAAAAAAAAAAGAAATAAAATGAAAAAATTATAAATATTAATTTCTACATACATACGTATATATATATATATATTATTTCATAAATATAAAAATTTTAACATTTAGAAAAAAAAAAATTACACAATTTTTTAGTATTTAAAAAAATTAAATATTTATTTATATATTTAAAATAATAAGAAACTTCTTTTCAAAAATATGTAATAATTAAATATTTAAATAATAATAAAAATTGATATATGCAACTATATATTACATCTTATAATAAAAAATATATACACATGTTTTCTCATTTTGTCTTATTTAAATTTTTCTTTTAAAATAAATACATACATATATCAATAATGGTAATACTATTATAAAAATTAATTACGTAGCAAAAGTTAATATGTTTTTTTTTATATATTTAGATAAACAAAAAAAAAAAAAAATAAAATAAAATAAAATAAACATTAAAATATGTATGAATTTAAGTCCCTTTTCTTTTCATATTTTTATTTAAACAATAAAACTAATAATTCCATTATTTCAATATTTGGCATACTTGTATTAATTTGTTTATAATTATATATATATATATATATTTAATAAAGATAATATATAGGTATATATATTAATTTTAATTTATGAATCTCTTTATTTTTTTTTATTTGGGAACAGACTTTGATCTTCATAAATAGATTATATTTTATTAATGTTCTATTTTATATATATATATATATATATATATATATATATATATATATATATATATATATATATATATATTTTCTTCTTAATTAAAAAAGGTCATCAATCTTCTTTCATTTCATCTTCTTCAATATTATAAGGCATAGGTGAAAATGGATCATCATTTTGAGTTTCATTTTTATTAGTTTGCTGAATTGGAGAAAACATATGAGCATCTTGTGTGTTTTGCTTTACTTGTACAGGAGATTGTATTATATAAGCAGGTGATAGTGGTTGGTTATTAAGTACTGCATTTTTATCATAAACTGGAGAACTAATGGAATATGCAGGAGAAGTTGGAGAAAATTTTGGGGAAGTTATTGAATAAGGAGAGTAATGAGGGCTACCAGGATTGTTAGCTACAGGAGATGTTGGTGAATATTGAGGAGACATAGGAGAATATTTTGGTGATGTAACTGAGTAGACAGGGGACATAACATTATATTTTATATTTGATTTAACATCGTCCATTTGATTTTTTGGAGAGGTAGGTGAGTAATATACATTGTCTGCATTATATGAAGGAGAAGTAGGGGAATATGATGGGGAATAAATGTTACTTTGTATTTGAGGTTTAGGTGAAAAAATATCTAGCATAGGGTTTGGAGAATACATAATTGGAGACTGGATATTATTCATATTTGCTTTGGGTGAAAAAACATTATAATTCATTAAGTTACTTTTTGGAGAAAATAATAAATTAGGATCAATAGGTTGCTGATTATGATGATCAAATGGAGAAAAAGGCGAATGAACAATTGAGGTAGGAGATTTAGGAGAATGTGTCGGGGAAAATTTTCCACCTAATTTTAAAGTGTCTAAATTATTAAAATCATTTTTTGAAGGAGACATAATATTGTCAGGATAATTTTGCAAGCATTGAGGTGATAATATATTATTAACATTATCTATAGGTGCAGTAGGAGACAATAAATTCGAATTATATGTTGGTGAAAATGGTAAGGGGGAATTTAATGTATTTATTGGTATTGGTGATTGAAGACCATCTGGTGTTATTCCGTGGTAGGTATCAGGAGTTGTAAATCCTGCACTTGTTATATCTTGAATTGTTTCTAAATTCTGATTTGCATCATTTAATTTTTGATTATCAATAATAATGTCAAATGCACCTGTTCCTATTTTACATAATTGACCTAACATAATATTTTCTGTAATTCCTTTTAAGTGATCTACTTGTGCAAATGCAGCTGCCTCTAATAATATTTCTACAGTTTCTTCAAAACTACATTTTATTAGGGGTCCTTTATCCACTCTATTTATTCCATGCCTTGTTATTGACATCAAATATCCCTTTTGTGTCATGACGTCACATAATATAGACAAATGCCTATAATTAACATATGAACTATCGAAAGATATAACTGTTCTTAATTCTTTTAATAATGCTCTTCTAACTGCTTCTATTCCCAACACCTCAAATATCTCTACTATGTCATTAGATATAGTTTTTTTATAATCTACAAGAGGAGCGCAAAAAATATTTTCTAAATTGCAACCATCTGTATCTAATACCCAATGAGAACTTCTAATAAATTTTCCACTTTCCGTATCATAATTTATTTTTGCTTCTTCTCTCATATAAACTTTTGTTATATTTTCAATACCTCTTAATTTTAATGTTGACAAACATTGCTCCATCAATTTTTTTAAAAAAGTATCTTCTGTATCTTCCTTTGATAAGAGAGGATTATTAGTTTTACTTCTATTTTTTAATGTGGCATCATCATCCATATTCTTTGACGTTGATTTGTTATACATATCATCTTGACTTCCTAATTCCTTCATATTCTCATAATTAGAAAAAATATTTTTACTATTACTAGAATTATCATTATTATTTTTTACATTATTACCAAAAAGAGTGTCATCTTCATTATCATTTTCATAGTCATTTTCTCCTTCTTTTGTATTATTCCTTATTTTATTTTCATTACTATTATTATTTTTTTGAGTATTATAACTATTAACACTTAAATTATCATCTTTTTTTTCATTTAAATTGTTATTTGAATCAGGTGAAGCATTCTTTTTAGTTTTAAAAGAATTTGAAATGTTATTGTAATCATCTTCTTCCTCTTCTTCGTCCCCATGATCATCATCATCATCATCATTTATAAAATTGTATTCACCGTTTAAATACTTAACTCTTATTCTTAAAATTAAATCTTCTGAATTGTCATCTGTGTATATAATATCTAATTCATCACTCGAAAAAACAGAATAAATAATATAAACTATTTCTTTCATAGTTAATTTTTTTTCATTTACATGTATATTTGTTAATTGAATTCTCAGAACCCATTCTCCTAATGTATATTGAGTATCATCTTCATCAGGAAATTCATAAAATTCATTAACCCATGATTTATCTTCTTCTAGAATAGTGGTAGTAGTATATGGATCATAAATTATTTGAGCATGTGAAGTTAATTGCTTTAATGTAGTATATTCTAATTTTGTTAATATATCTTTTGCTTTTTGTTGATCATTAGAGACAAGATCATCTAAATAAATAGTAGTTGATGGTGTTTTTACATTTTTAACTATATTTATTAATTCTTTTAATCTAGGAACACCTAATGTTACATTTTTTGATCCTACTCCTGCAAAATGAAAAGTATTTAAAGTCATTTGTGTAGCCGGTTCTCCTATAGATTGTGCTGCTAAAGCTCCAACACATTCTCCTGGATGACATAAAGATTTATAAAAATTTTTTTCAATTTCTTGCAATAACCAATCAATTCCTTTTAGACTTATTTTATGGGTTTGTGTTAATAATTTAGAATTTAAATAAGTTCTTAAATGTGCTTTTAATAATATAGTAGCATTATTTTGAGCTTCTAAAGATAATGTATCATTACTATTAATTTGTTTTATAATTACTAAATTTTCTAAAAAATTATTTACCTTATGGACAATATCTATTGGATTAACCATAGAATTGTCTTCTTGTTCTATGTTACTTTTTAGCATATTTTCAAAATGTTTTTTGTTCCCTTGAAAACTACTATCAGAATAATAATAACTATTGTCGTCATTATCATCTTCTTCTTCATTGTCATCATCTGTTTCTATTTCATTATTTGCTTCCTCATCAAATGATTCCATTTCATTATATGATTTTTGGCATTTTATAATATTAGAAAGATCATTATTTTCGTATTCTTTTTTTATTTCTGACAAAAGTTCATTATTATTGTTATCTGAAACATTATTATGTGTGCTATTTATTCCATTATAATCTAAATCGTTGTTCTGGGTATAATCATTCGTTTTAACTTTTTTTTTTTTCTTTTTCTTTTTTAGTTTTATTTTTGATCGAATTCTGTCACTACTTCTATTCTTAGATTTACTATTGATTAAGGGGATAAATGGGAATTGTGATTTTGCATATTCTATTAACCTGTTCATGTTAATGGGTAAATGCTGTCTGATATCACCATCAGGAAATATTTCTTTACATAAATAATTTTTACATTTATATAATTCTTCAAATTCTTGATTTAATATATTTTGTTTATTGTAATCTATATATGATTCTTTCCTCTCTTCACTTTTACATAAATAGAAATCTTTTCCATAAGATTCTTCATCAAAATTATACTTATATAATTTATTGATTTCTTTATTATCCAGTTTCATTAAATCTATAATTTGATCTTCTACATATTCTCCAGCCATACCATCTTCTCCATATAAAAATTGAATAATATCTCCATAAGAATTTCTTACAGTTCTATCATACTGGACCATTACATCTTCCATTGCTTTAATTAATCTTCTTTGTATATAACCTGTTTCTGAAGTTTTACATGCTGTATCAATAATACCTTCTCTACCTCCCATAGCATGAAAGAAAACTTCTTGGGGTGATAAACCACTTAAATATGAATTAGAAACAAAACCTCTACTTTCTGGTCCATAATCAAATTTAATAAAATGAGGTAACGATCTTTGATTAAAACCAAAGGGGATTCTTTTTCCTTCTACATTTTGTTGCCCAACACAAGATATAATTTGTGATATATTAATTATAGATCCTTTAGATCCACTTGCAACCATACTAAAAATATTATTTTTTTCATCTAAACTTTCAGAAGCAACTTTTCCTGCCATTTCTCTAGCACAATTTAATTCATTATTTACTCTTGTTTCAAAAGATTCATATAAAGATTTTCCAGGTTGACATTCTAATTCTCCTCTTTGTGCTTTTTTAACTAATTTTGTAACTTCTTTTTTTGATTTATTCAGTATTTCTTTTACTTTATCTAAAATTTTATTACTTGCTATAATATCCGAACAACTAACAGTAAAACCAATATACTCTAACCAATTATTAGTAACTTTTTGTAAAGCAGAAATAAAATCTTTTGTTTTATCTGGACCCATTTCATGCCATAATATATGAATTAAAGAACCGCTAGATGAACCAACAGTTCTTTTACATATAATTCCACTTAGTAATTCATTATTTTTTATAATTACCTTTCCATCATTAACTGAACAATAAGGGTTATCATCTTTACATGAAGTAGAGGAATCTCTAATTAAATTAATTTTTACCATATTGGGGTTTTTAAACGAATTATAATTATCATTATTATTTACTTGATGTTTTATATTACTATTAAATGTATTACTTACATGGTTTATATTATCTACAATTGAACAAGGACTATTTGGTTGATTATTTCCTATTTTTGTAACACAATTTCTTTTTACTTCCTCTTCATTTTTTAAATTATTATCATTCATTTTGTTATTTAGTAGATCATTATTTCTATTCACATCATCAAACTGTAACAACATAGAAAATATTTGCTTTCCAGTCCATAATGCTTTTGGTTTTATTATAGCAGGAGTTGGTATTACATGATTCCAATAAGGAATCCAAATTAATAAAGACATAACTTCTTCTTTACATAAAAAATTATCCCTTCTTGTAAATTTTCTAATAGCTAGCAGAGAATCTTGAACTATACCCATAACAGGTTTATTTCCTTGTGGAGAAACTATTTGTTTTTGTACTATCATTAAATGTTTAATTTCTGATCTTGTTTCATGAGATTGAGCTAAATGCAAATTCATTTCATCTCCATCAAAATCAGCATTATATGGAGATGTTACTGCTAAATTTAATCGAAAAGTAGAATAGGGTAATATTTTTGCTTTATGCCCCATAATACTCATTTTATGTAATGATGGTTGCCTATTAAATAAAATATAATCTTCATCAGTCATGTGCCTTTCTACTTTATATCCATACTCTAACTCCTTTTCTGAACTTTTTCTTACATGTCTTAAATCATATTTTGTTCCATTATCTCTTATAATATATTTTGCACCTGGCCATTCATAGGGCCCTCTTTCTACCCTTCTTTTTAAATCTTCATAATTTAATGGAGTTACAGTTTCACAAAATGTTAAAGTCATAGCAACTGATTTTGGTACACCAATATAATCAATATCTAAATTAGGATCTCCTGTAATTACAGTTCTTGCAGAAAAATCTACTCTTTTTCCCATTAAATTTCCTCTCAGTCTTCCTTCTTTTCCTTTTAATCTTGTTCTTATTGCCTTAATTGGTTTTTTAGATCTAGTAGTAGCAATAGGCATTCCTGGAATATCATTATCAAATAAAGTAGTAATATGAAATTGTAGTAATGAACATAAATCTTGGAGAACATGAGACTTGGCACCTCTATCCGTTTGCCTCTTTAACTGAATATTAGTTTTTACAATATCTAATAATTTTAAAGTCAAATCGTCCTCACTTCTTTGATTCCCATATTGAACATAAGGCCTAGCGCATGGAGGAGGAATAGGTATATATGTTAATATTAAAGATGAAGGAATACATCTATCTGAATTGAATCCTAAAATTCCCATTTCTTCCTTTCTTATTTTTTTTAATATTTCTAAAGCTTCTTCAGCACTTAATTTTCTTTTACTTTCATCAATATCTTCTTCACTGCTATGTAAAAATTGAATAAACATATTTGGCCCTTCTCTCGTGTATTTTGGTTGCACACAACCACAATCTACATCTTCTTTACTTACCATCTCAAATATATTACTATATGTATTTGGATTTAAAAGCATTTTCTGATTTACGTTTAAATTACTTAAATCATTGTTATAAAAATTATCTATAGAATTATCATTAATATTCAATGAATCTTCATGTACAGAATGATCACAAACCTTTATAGACGAACATAGTTCTGATAATTTTCTTAATCTTAAGCTATTTACTTTTATTTTCTCAATATATTTAACTTTTGAATTATTCATATTACATAACAATCTACCACAATGATAACATACACATCTTAAAACATTCAAAACAACATTCATAAAACCATAGTGATACATTGGTTTTGCTAATTGTATATGACCAAAATGGCCAGGACAATATTTAACATTCATATTACAAGTACCACATAATGTTTTATAATCAATAGTTCCCATTCTTATATCATTTAAACCCCCTTCTCTTGGTAAGCCATCTTTATATATATCTACATTTACTATTTCACACACACTTATTTTTTTTATTATTTCAGGATCCAATACTCCCAATTCCAATCTCTTTACTCTTTTTAAATCACATGCTGAATAAGGAACATTTAAATCAACTGTCATTTTTTTTTTTTTAATAATAGCTATTTTATTACCTTTTTTGTTAATAAAATATGAAAAACAATATTAACAATTAATAATAAATTATTCAAAATTTTCGATCAAATGGAATAACATTTAATACCGTTTAAAAAAAATTAAATTATTTAGTTATTTCAATATCCCTATTAGTCCTTTTTTTTCTTAGTATTCTGATAATGTTCCTTTCTTCTCCTTAACATATATTATTATATATATATTTATATAATTATATATATTATATATATATATATATATTTATATAATTATATATATTATAAAAATATATATATTATTTTTAATTGTTCTATTTTTTATCTTCTGATTTCATTTATTTTATTTTTTTTTTTTTTTTTTATTTAAAGATTATTTTTTTTTAACTCATATTTTTTTAATGAATTATAAACAACTCTTATTTTTTTCTTCTATTCATGACTTATTAACTATATATGAAGAAACATAATACAAAAAAATTTATAAATATTGAGTGAAGCTTTAAAATATTTTTAAAGCTTACTTAAAACAAAAAATGAAAACATATATTAATACTTTTGCTATATTTAAAATGATCTGCAAATTTTTTTATGAAAAAATGTATATATATACAAATATATATATATATAAATATAATTTATTATATTTTTTCATTTTTCCTTTTTTTTCAGTGTTCTTACATTTTTAAACTTTTTTTAATACATTTTCAACTAGTCTTACAAAAAAAAAAAAAAAAAAAGAAAAAATTTAATATGAATTTTTAAAAATTTACAGTTTCAATATGTAGCATTAATACATTAAATCAAAAAATTAAAAAAAAAAAAAAAATTAAAAAAGAAAAAAATTAAAAAAAAAGTAATAAATAGGAAACAAAAATATTTTATATCATTAAAAATGTTTATCATTTATAAAAAAAAAAATTAAAATAGAATAATAATAATTATTTAAAATAATTGCAGTTATTGTAGTTATATTTTAATACCAATAAAAATAAAAAAAAATAATAAATTTCTGCTAATATAAGTTTGTGCTTCAAATTATAAAAGAAAATTTTACCTTATTATATGCATGAATAAAAAATATTTAATATGGGGAATTAATTGTATAAAAAGATTAAGTTATATATCATTTTTATTAATTTTTTATTATTTAATATTAATAAAGTATATATATATATATTTCTATTATTGAATTATATCTGAAATTGTTAGTTTTTATAATGTACGACTTTAACTAAAATATAAATGTTTAAAAAAAAAATACAAAACAAAAAACACCTTTAGGAATATAAAAAAAAAAAAAAAATAAAATATAATCTACTGTATTTTTAATAATAACATACGTAGATACCAAAAATTATATAAAAAATAACTTATTTATTTTAAATAAAAGAGATAAACCCTAAATTATAGGAATTTTATTCCAATAAATATTTACAAAAGTGAGATTTTAAATAAAAATACTATATAAATTTATATGATTTTTCGTCGATTATGATAGATTAATATGAAATTGTTTTCTAAAATATTATTAGCTTCAACTTATATAGAAAAAAAAAAAAAAAAAGATATAAAATTCCTAATTTTAATATATTTCAACTATTTTTTTTCTATCCATACTTTTATATTTACATATTCATTCCCTATTATTTTTAGTTAGAAGTATAAAAATACATACATTTAAAATTTATAATTTAACTAATATATTTTTAAAATAAGTAGTACATTAATTTTAAATCTATAAAAAAATTTACTGTATTTTTTTTTTAATTTATTTTTTATTTTTTTGACTATAATATTTTGTATTCATTTTATATCTTTTAACATTTATTTCTTTTTTCTACACTATTTTAAATTAATAGTATAAAGCACTGAAAAAAAAATAAAATATATATAACAATACTAGAATCTATAAGAAAATATAAATAAAAACTATAAATTTTTATAAAATTTTCAATGTTTCAAACATTTTAAATAAAAGAAAAGAGTTGTTTTAATTAGATACACTTTTCATAAATTTATTCTTATTATTAAAAAGATTAAGGATAAAATAAAATTAATAAAAAAAGTAATTTTTTTTCTACAACAGAAACTCAACTTTTAAGAATGTATAATAAAACTAAAGAATTATAAATAAATTTAACTCAAATAATAATTGATTAAAATAAGAAAAAATAAGTGAAGTAAATATGATTAACATTTATAGCAATTCAAATAATTATATTCATATACATATATATATATATGAATGATGTAACTATAATAATATTTTAATAAGTGAATTAAAAAATTATTGTATTCAAACATATATTAAATATTAGAAGCTTGATATTATATTATTTAAAAGATATTCTGTTATTATAAAAACCTAATAAATAAAAATTTTTTTATATTTATTTATAATTTTATAAAAAAAAATTTTAAATATAAAAATGCAAATAGATAAAATTTCAAAAAAAAATAATTGAAAAAAAAAAAAGTAAAAAAATTATAAAAAAACAATAATTCTTCTCTTTTCATAATAATGTAATATGCTCTTTTTTTTTTAATTTATTTTGTCATATATACATATATATATGGATATTCATTCTGCACATATTAACTTATCTGATTTATTAGGAAATTATGTAAAATTAAAATTATATAAAAAATTATATGAATATTATATATATAAAAAAACACATATTACACGAAAATGAAACATGTCTAAATATAAATAATTATCCATAAAATTAATTGTAAATTACACTTAAAAACTGTTAAAAATTAAAATTATAAATGTGTATAAAGATCTATTAAAATATGTTGATATATGTATTGTATTAAAGAAAAGTGGAAATGTGAATCGTGGTTAGTGTAAATATATATGAAAATAAATGAACAGACAAAAATAAATAAAAATAAATAAAAATAAATAAAAATAAATAATTATAGATATATAATTATGAAAATACATGCACACATAAATTTATCCACATTCATAAAAACCCAAATTAAAACAAAATAAAGATTAATAAAAATATACATATAAAAATACATTAAGATGTATATAAATTTTAACATATAAATGTAACATTAAAAAAAAAGTAGTATAATTAACATTCTGTTGTAAGAATTAAATCAGTTCTTTACATCAGACTGAATTAAATTATTGTTCGAAAGAGATTCTATATTGTTACTTGTATTTTTTGAATTTTTAATATTATTGTAAATGGATAATGATTGAGAAATTAAACTACTAATATTGTTTAAATCTGCAGGAATAATTATTGTGTTATTATTTTTACATATATTAGAAAATACATCAATATACTGTTCTGCAATAAGTAAAGATATGGCATTATTGGAATCCAGTTTTTTAATTTTATTGGAAATTATTTCAATAGCTTCAGCTGTAGCATCAGCTTTTGCTTTTATAGCAAAAGATTGTCCTTCAGCTATTAAAATAGATTTCCTTTTTTTTCCAATAGCAATATTTATTTCACTTTCTCTTTCTCCTTCACTTTGTAAAATTTCTGCTCTTTTTCTTCTTTCTGCTTCTGCTTGTTTTTCCATAGCATTTTTTATATTTAATGGTAAAATTATATCACGAATTTCGTATCTCATACATTTTATTCCCCAATTTTTTGCAGATTCATTTATGGCTTTTACAATTTTTTCATTCAAATTATCTCTTTCTAAAAATGTTGCATCCAAAGTTAACTTTCCTAATTCTGATCTCATTGTAACTTGAGCTAGCTGTGTAACTGCAAAAACAGCATCTTCAATTCCATATGAAGAATTATAAGGGTTTTCACATTTTATATATAATACTCCATCTATATTTAAAGTAACATTATCTTTTGTTATAGCTGTTTGATTTGGTATAGTAATTGTTTCTTCTTTTAATGAAAAAACATAAGCTATCTTATCTATAAATGGTATTAAAAAATGAAAACCTGCTAATAATGTTTTTTTATACTTTCCTAACCTCTCAACTATGTATGCTGTTTCTTGTGGTATTATTACAAAACCTAAACTATTCCAAAATTTTTTTGAAAATTTTTTATTTCCATTACTAGTGTAGAAATTTCTACTTTGATTAAACACATTTCTATTACAATTGGTACTTTTATGATTTTGTAATATATAGTTACTAGTGTAATAATTTCTATTTTGATTTAATGTATTTTTATTATATTTTATACATTTGTAATTTTGTAAGAAAGCTTTGCCCCATATGATTCTCCTATTTAAAATAATCATTTTTTTTTTTTTTTTTTTTTTTTTTTTTCTACTATCCTTTTTTCTTAAATTATATTTCTTTATAAAATTTTCATTAACTATCTTAATATTTCTTACTTTATACACTATTTTTATTTATATCGTTAAGATATACTAATTAAAACTATTTTTTTTTTTTTTTTTTTTTTCAACATGTATAGGTTTTTTATTCTTTTCTTTTTTTAAAATTAAAAACTATATACTTTCTTATATTTTTATATATATCATTTATATATATATATATTCCTTATATTTTTTTTAATTAAATCCTTTAAAAAAAAAAAAAAAATTTTACACTTTTGTAAAAAAAAAAGATAGAATAAAGTTAAAAAAAATATGTTTATTAATATAGGATTTTAATATTCCGTTAGATATGAGAAAATAAAAATAGGTAAAAAAAAAAAAAAAAACTTATATATATGTTGTATAAAAAATGAATGTTACATTATCATACTTTAAAAGAGGAATATTAAATTAAGATCTTTAAAAGAAAAATATTTTCATAATTTTTATAAACATTTTAAAAATCAAATGAATTCTATAAATATATAAGATAAAGCATTTAGTATTGTTAAAATTTTATAATTAAAAATACCTTTTTTAACAGTTACCAAAAAAAAAAAAAAAAAAAAAAAAAAAAAATATATATATATATATATAAGTATTTGTAAATTAAAAAAAAAAAAAAAAAAAAAAAGAAATCATACTTTTTTAAGTTGAAAAAAAATTATATTAACATCAATTTATTTTATTGTTCATTTTTTTTTTTTTTTAAACCCTAAAATATGCTTATGCTAATTTATTATTATGTGGTAAATATCATAATTAAATATACCAATATAAATACTTAAAAATATTTGATTGTGAAGTTTAATTTTGAAAATACAATTTCACATTAAATTATATAGGTATAAATATTATAGAAAAGAATTATAAAAAAAGGTTAGTACATCATTAAAATGCACATAGAATATATAGAACAAAATTTTCTTAATATAATATTTTTTATTTGCATAACTTATTTTTCCTTATGAACTATTTCACATAATAATTTATATTCATTGAATTTTTTTACTTTTTAGCTATTAATATATATATTTATTTAATTTTAAATTCCTTTTGATTTTTTTTTTTTTTTTTTTTTTATTTATATTATTTTGTGTTACCAATATAATTATTGCTACTTTATATATATATATATATATATATATATTTTTATACTTTAATAAAAAAGAAAATCTTAATTTGTTCATCAAAATTTATATATTATTTTTATTTTTTCTTCATTATTAATAAATTAATTCCATTAGATAATCAACATTTATAATATTATTTTTGTTTTTTTCTTCACTATTGGTTTGTAATCTTATTATTTTATCTTTATTATTATTACTTGAATATACTTTGTGCTTTTTTATTTTTTTAAAATAGTAATCATTATTACTTATTTTATTTGAATTGTTTTTTATTTTGTTTATTTTTCTCCATTTTTTTAATAATAAATTAATATCATGTAAATTTATTTCGTTTATGGGTATGTTTAAAGCTAAACTTAGTATTTTTTTTATTTGTTTATTTAATTTTCCATCATTTAAACTATTTTCATAATAAGATTTTTGTAGGTTTTGAAAAGAATTTGAAATTTTTAAATTCTTTAAATTATTTATTTTTTCTATATCATTATAATCTATTAAATTATTTTTAGTATTTTCTGATAAATCATCATAATTCGTTGATTTTTTTTTATCCTCAGTTATATAATACACATCTTCTCTATTGAAATAATTTTCTTCATTATAATTTTTTTTTTTTGTCAAGTTTTTATTAGAATTATCTGCAAAAATAGATTCATGAAAAGAAATAATTAAAAACATAAACAATATTAAATGAATCATATTTTTTTCAAATATACAAAAATATATATATATATGTAATTTTTTTTAAAAAAGAATTATTTTTAAATAAACGTCAAAAATTAATGTAATATAAACAAATATATAAAAGTATAAATCAAATGAAGTAAATATTTATATAAATATAAAAACATATATATAATATTTGTTGAACACACATATATTGACAAATGTTTTTCATACATCAATTTATGACAAAAAGAATTTATAAAAATTTTTAATATATTCTTATTTCCATTTCCACTTATTAATTTTATATTTATTTCTTTTGAATATAGTATATATTACATGTAAATACACTGTAGAACTGTTAATATATATGTCATTTTATTTTAAATATTGAAACTTATTAACATAAAGAAGAAAAATAACAAACAAAAAAATGATGTAAAAAAAGCAAAAAGGATAACAACAAAAACAATATATTAAATAAAGAAAACTTTCAAAAAAAAAAAAAAAAATAAAATAAAATAAAATAATAATAACAATAGTTTATAATAATTACATCTTATGTTATTAATAAAAAAGAAAAAACTTATTTAAAATTATGTTTTGATTTCTTATAATTCTATATTTTCATATATTCATTATATTATAATATTTAGAATTATTCTATTCATCTTATTTTTTAATATATTTATTTGCACATGAGTATTCTGAAAAAAATAAATATTTTTTTTTTCCTTTAAACTTATACAGATACTTCTTCTACAACATTTAAAACATCTTTTAAGAAAATTATTACATATAATGTATCAAAAGGAATATGTATTTTGTAAAAAAAAAAAAAAAAAACAATTATTTAAACTTTAGCTAATAGAAACTTGATGATTTAAAATTTTTAATTATTTTTTTTTTCACCAAATTTTGTTTTCAATTTTCTATAGATTTATATAACGGATACTCCTGTTCAATTTTTTTGTTTGAAAAGTATATAGTTCCCTTTTTATATCTATAAATGGATTTTTTTACTTCTTTTGGTAGTTCATAATTTAATTTTAATTCACCAAAATTATAAAAAGAAATATTATTATGATGCTTTATTAAATATATTTTGTAAATATCTTTTATAGCGTTTATTTCTAATAGCATATTTACTGTTTGATGATAATCAATAACATGAAATAAATCATGTTGTTTTATGACATTTCTTGCTATAGAATTCACTATTTTTTCATCACATAAATTAAATTTTTTTTTAATATTTCTTAACGTTCTTGAAATTCTATTAAAATCACATGGTTCAAAATATTTTAAATGGCTATGTAAATGTTTACATAAAATATTAAAACTTGTCTCATCTATTAAATCGTGATAAGAAAGAATTTCTGTCAATCTTGGTATATCATATGTAATTTTAGAATTTTTGTTGTCATTTTTTTTTATTTGCTCATTTATATTAAATAAAATATCTTTCTGTAATTTTTTATCCATTTTTGTTTTATGTACAAATGAGGAAAGTTTAGATAATGAATCTAAATTTAGAATATCCATATGTTTTTTTATATGTAACAACATTTTTTTAAATATTTTGTTAATAGGAGAGTAATAAAAAGGCAATAAGGAAGAAAAATAGTATCCAATAGCACATAATACACTTGGAGGATAATCGTAAATAAATGTGTCTATATGTTTTAAAATATGTTCAAAAAGTTTTATATCATTTATTTTAATTTTATAAAAAGAAAAAATTACTCTTTCTATCAAATGAGGATTTAAACAGTTACTGTTTTTTAACATATATATTATATACCTACTTATATAATCATAAAATATATAATTTTGAAATTTTAAATTAGAAAAATAATATGCTATATCAATTAAATTTTTCATAGTAGGATAATAATTAAATTGATCTTGTTTATATTTTAGTAAAGCATGTTCGTTTTCTATAATATATGTAAGGTTTTCATCATTAAAGTTATTTAACGTATTTTCTTCTATTAATTCATTTGAAGTTTCTATTTTTAAATTTGTTGAATTATCTTCGTTCATCACATTTAAATATTTATTATTGCATAAATTAATTCTGTAAATTATTTCATTTGTTAGTAGGTTAAAAAACAGATAATCGTGTATTAAACAAAAGGAATAACTTTCAATAATTATAGTTAAATAGTAAAATGGGATAATGCTAATGTGTGGTTTTAATAAATCTCTAATCTTATTAAAAAGGTGTTTATCTTGTAATTCACATAAAGAAAATCCTTTTAATATTAATAATAATTGATGTGGTAAATAATCATTTAATCTATGATTTAACATTTTTGTAATACTTTCTAATTGAGCAGTAGCTTTTAATTTACCATAATAATAACAAATCCTTGGTAAATTTAAAAAGGTATTAATTTTGTTTTCTATTCTTGAAGTAATTAATTTAAATCTCCAATCACTAGTAGAACATTTACCAACATCAACTAATCTTTTTAAAACTTTCAAGTAGTGATAAGCTTTTTTTCTTTTATGTCTGTAATACACCCATACATTTAATACTTCATCTGATGTTGTTGCTAATGCGATTTTTTTTGGTAAATTCCATAACCAACTACTAGATAATTTTTTTTCTGAATATGTAGCTTCATAATTAAAAATCAATCTTTGAGTATTTTCTATACTTCTTGGTAATTTATATCTTTCTATATATTTGTTCCAAGAACCCTTACCTACTCTTTTGTGAAATCTATAGTAAGCGAATCTCTAAAAAAATAAAAAAAAAAAAAAAATAAAAAATAACATGTACATATCAGGTATTATACACTTTAATTCCTTCTTTTTTCTTCTTTTGTAATTTTTTTTTTTTTTTTTTTTTTTTTTTTTTTGAATACTTTTTGAATCTGAAAAAAACTTTTTCTCTTAGTAACAATTTTAGGAAAATATTCTACTATCATTTTTCAACTCATAAAATTCATAATATTTCTAATTATTTTGTTATATTTTATATAAATTTTTTTTTTTTTTTTTTTCTTCTAAATAATTCTATTTTATTCAATTTTTTTGCACTTTAATAAATGAAAATACATATTTTTTTTTTAATTTTTTTTAACAAATTTGCATTTAAATAAAATTATTTTTCTTTATTTACACCAAGATTTCTCTTTTTTTTTTTTTTTTTTTTTTTTTTTTTTTTTAAAAAAAAAAAAAAAAAAAAAAAAAAAAAAAAA